CTCTACAGTCCACCGCTCTACCAGCTGAGCTATCGACGGAACAATTACAATGTTTTCTTATAAACTAAATAAAGCATTAACTAGGTCACATGTTACTACCACAATAAAAATTTGTTTATCTGTTCACAATCAGAATTTAAATCAAGCCGTATAAATTATGTCAACGAACAAACTTGTCTTAAACTTGACACTATTTTCCTTAATTTATTTGTCTTTCGTTATGTCGGGATGCTAAATGCAGAATCAGTTTAGATCAGTGATTCTCAAACTTTTTCGATCCACCGCCCCCTTTGTTCCATAAAGTTATACCCAACGCCCCNATCTAAAAATTTTGAAAATTTACTTATACAGTATTTATTTAAAATTCATTTTATTGAATAACATTTATGAGATAATTTATAATCACCGTGTAATTATTTTTAAAAATATTAAACAATAATTATAAATTTGGCTGATAATGTCTCTCATTTAACAACCTTTTATTTTTAATGCATTCTCTCACCCAATCTTCGGTAACAAGGTGAAACATTTTCTGTCTTGTACGATTCATCTGTCTCAGCATTTTGTATCTTGAAGAATCACTAATAACCAATACACAATTTAAAGAGAGAATTTTCTATATAATTTAAATTCAGTGATAAACATCTTACCCTGAGTAAGTAATTACGTGAGTGGTATTCTCATCAACTTTACTAATGATTGTTGCTCCATAGAGTCTTAACTGTAATTCTGTTATGCCTAAGCTGTGACTTTTTATTTTTGTATTTTCTTCTCCTAAAATCGCTTATATATTTCTTGGTTTTTCTCTTCATTTTCATTTGTATCGTGAGTAAAATTAAGAAGTAAAATTTTACGATTCGTTTATCTGAGGCATGAGAAATATGATTGGTCCTTAATAGCACGCAAAACGGACTTTAAAAAATCCAGCAATGAACTGCATAACTTTCCCGGCAATTGCTAGATTAATTAATAATATAAAAGCCCACAGGCACAAGCCCATAGTGCCCACAGGACGAAATAACGAAAAACGTAATCCATTTATTTTCATATAGAACTATTACAGTATTTAATGTCTACGCAAAATATTTTCGAGAATTTGAAGTTTATTATAAACCAGTTGAAAGTTCCAATGCAGGCATCGGGGCATACTAACAGTGCCGGCCCGAAGCAAGTTTTAGGATGGAGCGAGATCCTATTATGGCGCCCCCCTTGGTTGCCCCTAATTTATACCCTTTAATTTTCTTTACCACTGAGGCGCCCGATAGGACTTAGCGCCTGGAGCGGCTGCTCCGTCCGTCCTATGGTAGGGCTGGCTCAGAATACTAAATAGTTAGCATACATAGCAATGATAAATAATTAATTACAAATGGTTTACCTAAAGTGTAGAGACGTTCGGCAGAACACTATTGAAAGTGAACTGTCCATAACTATCATTGTCATGTACTGTACTAAAACCAACATCCCTACATCCAATTCTCATGAAATAACTTTCGAAATACCAATAAGATACTACATATTTCAGTTAAGATTGCAAAGAAATATCGTAATATCCCGTCTCCAGTTCAAAACATAGTTATGCTTTCTGGTTTCATTATTATCATTGTCATGTACTACGACCTACATCACTATATCCAATTCTTTTTAATTAACACAGTAAGCAGCATACATGCCGAATACCATCAAAAAAGAGTCGAGCACGGACTCTGGTAATTCCTAGGTTTGCCGCTTTGCTTTGCTAGCGCTCGATACGCTGACAGAGACTGGCCATTTTTTCAGTTTTATATAGTAGATAGGAATTTAGTATTATTTTTATCCATTACAAATAAAAATAATAATACACTGAATTATACTATAACAATATAATATATATATACAGTTGATCCCCCTATAAGGCGGTAGATACGTTCCACTTTATAAGAATTTCACGTTGTAGGAATCCTTAAATATATGAGCCAATCACAGCCCGGCAAGTGTGCAGTTTACGGACTACGGCTGTTTAAAAGGTTTTCTTCCATAAAATTAATCGATTCTAGACTAATTTGACTGGAACATTTCCAAAACACGTATAATTTTTTGGGAATAATCCGTATAAACTATGCTATAAACAAAAAATNTAGAAATTCATTTAGTGCACCATAAATGTTGGAAAAGGTGACAGTTGATGAGAAGAAGAAATTAAAGTAAAATGACATTCCGTCTTTGGTTTTATTTACAAAACAAATTAATCACAGAAAATCACCAATTGATGTAAAAATAATAAAACTGCAGAAGCTAAATCTTCAACATACACTACCATTAAACCGAAGCTTTTATTTAATTTTCGTGATGTGTTTAAAGAACTCACAAAAAATGATACAGTTATTACACCAGAAAGTGTCTGTAAACACTGACTATTTAACATGTACAGTACATAATAAATATTGAAAATGTTGATAAAAAATTGGACTGAATGCGAGCTACCAACCATGCTCCGGATTAGACCGAAGGATCCCTTTAAAAGCGAAGGGACAAAGATCCCCGGGCAATTTTTCAGTCTCTTGACTGAGTTGGAAGAGAGTTAGAGGTTCCTTAGACGGTATTGTGTACATAATTACGTCTAGATTCAAACAGCAGCCGTCCGATCGTTGACACCAGCATCCAAAGCTGACAGATTCTATGAACGTTCGTGTCGAAGTGGCTCATCTCCAAGTAAAAGAAACTGTGCTCAAAGAAAGACCGTAAGGTGACTTTTGGACGAACCCTTTCCTTTCTCCCTTTTTAGTTAGAACATGTTCTAACTAAAAAGGAAGAAGGAGAAAGGAAAAATCTTTCAATCAGGAACGAATCGAACGGTCAACCCTTGTGTACATCACTACTAATACTGTATTTGGCAACACTAGCGTGATGCGAATCAGTTATCTATGGTCGTGAGTCTGGCAAATTTATAGTACAAATATTTTCTGTATTTTGGTTTAATAAAGCATTACAATAGATACCTAATTATTATTTTTATCTACTTATTACATATTTTATTTTAGAATTTATTATTAATTTAAATAATAGCTAAGGGCGCCTCTAGTGTCCGTTTTTGGCATACCTTGACAGAAATCAAGGTCCTAGATTATAATCTAAAGAGACTGCCCAGGTTTTCAGTTTTGTATATAGATTATTATCGTTGCGAGAGAAGAGAGGCTATCGCATTTCGAGAATGCGCAGGGGTACAAAACGGTTTCTCGCGGTGGCCGGCAGGGGTGCTACTATACCCCTAAAGCCTAAGTGTTACAACAGGTAGAAAAAGCTTCTTAGTGCCTCGTATATTTTTTTCTTACGAGTAACGCTCGCATATGTTTATTTTGATTTATACGAGAGAAAATGTGCAACGGGATTACGTACTAAATACATTTGCAATCCACTAGTTTATGGAGAACACAAGTGAAAGGAAATATTACTTCATTGAGAAAGTTACTTTATGAAACAATATTGTACCTGTTATCTGATGCTCCCGTTTTTTATACCTAATCTCTGTAAAGTGAAATGTCTTGTCTACAAGAACTATATTAATTATGTAGTATATAGTCCTTGCGCCTGGAGCGGCAATTATGTAGTACAGTATATAGTCCTTGGTTGCTAGGAGTGTCTTCTGAATCACGTGACGGAACGCAATCGGTTTAAATATACCATGGTTGGAAAGTGAATAGGGGCGTGGTACTTTGTCGTCTTTTGTTTTATTATTGCCGAATTAAAAATATATAAGTGAAACAGAAGGCACGGAGTTAATTTATTAGAAACAAATGGATGATATCACTTATATTGACTTATCCTTGACATTCTTTCTTCGTTAATAAGTTCAGGATATAAATTTTAAAGACGATTCCTTCATTCGTTCCCACATAAAGCAGCTTATTTAAATCGTTTTGTTAAAGAAGCGATTTCTCATACTCGGAATAACTTAAGAGGATATGAATAAGCGGGATATATCCTCCTTTCGCCTGGTTTATTTGTTCTGTATAATATTTATTTATTTACACTTTTTAAATATTATTTTAAGAATCACATGATATATTATCATAATATTATGATATGATTAAATTGAAAAAGCAGAAGGAATAGCGCTAATTAGTTTTAAATGACAAATGCTTTCTTATAAATGATTGATTGATAAAATCATATTTTGTATTTAAAATTATATTTTGTATTAATATTGTTGACATAAAGATAGAAAAGAGGAGTATTTTAAACATGTTTTTGTGTATTGATTTGCATATGATCCTATTGTCTAATCTTTCAAAAAACAAACTTTGTAAATTTCTTTAACTGTATTTATCATACTTTTGTTTTATATTTATATTTTTTATAATTTCATAAAAATTTTCAAGTGTCTTACATTTGATTTTAAATAGAAAAAAAATCTTATTACACGATGTAATACTTGGTTTCAGTTACATGTCATATCACATAAAAGCTTATGATTTGTAGAAAAATAAGAGTAACTATGAATTTCTTCAGTAGTGAAATAATCTAAAAAAATTTATCTTAATTAAAAATCAATAATGTAAGAAATCATATCTCAGGATTTAGAATTCATGAAAACTAATAAACAATAATTTTATAAATATTTATGGAAAGAGATATTTGCACAAATAATTTTTATTAATAGACTTTTACTAAATTCTCATACCATGCAAGTGCATAAAAGATAAACATGTAGACTATATCATATATATATATATTCATTAGATGCAGTTTGGGTTAATAAATATAATATGATTAAAAAGTTTACACAAAGTTTTAAAGCTAATAAAACAACTGAGTAGTTTCTACACTTGCAAAACATTTATAAACAAAATATATAATCGTTATTTTAAATTTCAATGGCTTTGACAGCATTTTAGCCATGGAATACTGCCTTAGCTGGTATGCGTCCGTCTCTCTGAAAAGGGTGTGTTAAGACGCTACCTAGCGACAAAATTTAGCAACACTAAACGACCCTCTTTTCAAAGCGAAAAGTTCAGAATGCGATAGTCTTTTTTATCTCGTAAGCACCGATTATTTATAAAGTAAAATAAAACGTCTTATCTTCGGTTAACGAAGCGACCTCTGCCGCCGAAAATTCGAACTTCGGTGAATTACAGCATGGTTGATTGCACGTTGCGTTATTCACTCTAATATTGTGATATCAGTTAGTACAATGTAGTAAGTTGTACGATTCTACACACAACTTATCGCTCATCGTATCTTTAGAGAGCTGATTAAGAGAAGCATGGACACTCTACAACTTATAAAATCTACTTTAGAGAATTCGTTAGGTCAATACGGATTCGAATTTCATCCGTTTAAGGTAAATTGTTTAAGTTGTAAATATAACTTTACGACCGCTTTCGTCATTGTTTAGCATTAAAGCGGTACTTCGCACTAACCCAGTTGATGATTATCTTAATAATAATCGGCGTAACGTGCATAAAACAATTTGCGCTCTTTAATAAATCAAAATGATGTGACAATTTCAAAAATTAAACTTAAAATGTTCAATTGATGCATCTGAAATAATGTATTTAACGTACTGTATCTTTGCCAAGTTATTAGATCCAAATCAATTGATGATTTGTTAGCTTTTGATAATTCAATAAAGATGCAATTGTTGGTAGGTTTATTTAAAATATTTATGTTTATTATGTCTTAAGAAGTAAAATTTTTATATGCAAAAAATTAAAATTGAAAATTAGTATTTTGTATGATCACCCTTAACAGCCTTAGTGCTTCTATATGACAAGGAACACTGCACATTTTTTTTAATTTTCATTTTATGGTTATGGGTTATGGTTCCCATACATTAACGAGAATGTCTATCTGTTCCCATTTTGTAGTAAAAAGTTGATTTTTTTACATTTACAGTAGTGCCATATAAAATATTTATTAGAAGTGTTTGTGATATAATAGAGAATAAGAATAACATGAAAAAATACTTGTTTTGTAAATAATATTATGAAAAACAGAGAAGAAAATAGTACAAAAACTATGATTTTAGTCAATGGGTCTAATAATTTGGCAAGATACTTTATACTCGTAGACAGTTTTTTCCGTATAGTAATTAATAAATACACATAACAGTAAAAGTTAAACATTATTACATAAATAAATTACTATTATTTTTACAGATTGGCTGGTATAATGATATGATCAAACCAATTTTTCAATTGAATTATTCTTATGACACCATAGCATTTTTGATAGTGAGCACTCCTCAAATGTTTGACAGAGCGTTCAAGCCTTTTGTCCGGTGCCGGCGACTCTCGGGATCATTGAACCCCATCGACGAATGCACGGTTTATTATTTGGATCGGATAAAACAGGTACAATACATCTCTCTTACTGGTGTATAAAGTGGATGTGTTCCCGATTTCTAACATAAGTTTTGGATTGTCATCAGGTGTTTCCTGATACGGAAATTGACATTAAATATGATTTTGAATTGCACATGGGAAGAAGACCGAAAGTTTTAATGCAGACTGCAGCTCACGTTTCCGGGGCAGCCTATTATTATCGGAGGGACGATCTCCAAGAAGACCCTTGGGGTTCGAATAAGGTGGGTATGTCGATGTAGATTTCAGAAAAATTTTGTTTTACGAGATAATAAAGCAAAAGTAATTTTTGAAATGTTTACAGAAAATATTTGGTGTTTGCATTCATCCTAAATATGGTGGTTGGTTTGCCTTAAGAGGTGTGGCAATTTTTGAAAAATTTACCTGCCCCCTTTTGACAAAGACTGAACCCAATGACGTCATTCCTGAAGATAAGAAAAGAGAGCTGTTGGAAAAATTCAATTATCACTGGGAAGATTGGAGCTATCGTGATATTATTCCAGTTGCAGAAAAATATTCTGAAGAACAAAAGAAATATTTTGCTACCAAACCTGGCCAAAGGCATAAAATTATAGATGAAATAAGAAATGTAGATAGTTTGTATATTTAAAACTGTAAAATATTTATTATTATTTAATACGATAATATTAAAAATAATAAATTATTTGCTTATTGTTTTTAGAATGTTGATAACATAAAAGTTAAAAAAAGAATAGAAGTATGTGGCCGGCATTGTTTACATTTAATAAATACATAAAAATATAAATATGACTTTTACAAAGATAAAACCTTGCTTTTGTCATTCTTTCATTACCTTTGTAAAAATCTTATGTATATTTTTACTAGCTGATCCAGCCATGTGTTGCTGTGGCTCAAAATGTATTTGTTATAAATGTATCCCCAAGGGGGGAATTTCGAAAAATCCCTTCTTAATGTACATTCTCTTGACATACCCTATTAAAATGCAATCAAGAATGCAAAAAACCGCATCTAAAATAATATAATTGAAGTCGAGTTCTTTATGGTCAGCCTTAATTTTGTCCCTCCCCCCACAGAGGGAATTCCAACATCTATATAATATAAAAACACGTACATATTTGAATGCAACTTTGTGTCAAAATTTCAAAGCAATCGGTTAAGAACTTTCAGAGATTTAAGATTTTGAACAAACAAACATTTTCATTTTTATTTATACAGATGTATTTATTAAATGTAAATAGCACTGGCCATGCACTTCTATTATTTTTTTACTTAAAATGTGATATTATAACAGTGGCAAGAACACCAGAGGACACTTTACCTGATTTTTACATTTTTTTTGCGGAGGCAATAGCCTCAAAAGGAAGGTCATCTTCAAAGCTTTATGAATTGTTTAAGGACTGCTGATGGCATGGACAGTGAAAAGAATGACAAAAGCAAGGTTTTACCTTTGTAAAAGTTGCATTTATTAAACATAAAGTTGTTTAAGTACCGTTCATTTTGAGGTTTGTTAGAATTAAAATAATTACTGTTAAATTATGTTCAAAAATAATGGTTACAATAAGATAAATGTAGAAATATATTTCTTCATTTATGCAAAATCACAAAGTTATTATTTTAAAATATTAATTAATCAGGAGGAAAATCTCAAACTTTTTAGATGATTTATCACAGATATGTTAGGCTTAATCCTTGCTACATAAATTGCAGAATCATGGATCTAGCCAAACCCACAAACAAAGGCTTTCTTAATGTTTAGAAGGTGGAGAGTTTATGTAATAAATAATATTATTTAGTTCCTTCAAATTATATTCTCTCAACTATATTTATGAATTATCTCTATCTAAAACATAAACAAATATAAATTATATTTTATCATCTGCTTTATTTAAATATATTCTGATGATAAATGTCTGTGAAGGACAAAATTCTAATTATAAAAACTAAATCATATATTGAAAAGGAAAAATTAGTTAATAAGGTGTTAAAATTTTTCCTCTTCTGAAAATATTTAATCATTACTTTGTAATTTATTACTTTTTAATTGTTTTAAAATAACAGGAAATTTTTTCATAAATTTGATCTATTTATATTAAGATAAAAGTACTGTTAAACATATACAAAACTCAATCATGATTAAACTTTTTAATTTTTAGTAATAATATCTAAAAATTTTGAAAATTTACTTATACAGTATTTATTTAAAATTCATTTTATTGAATAACATTTATGAGATAATTTATAATCACCGTGTAATTATTTTTAAAAATATTAAACAATAATTATAAATTTGGCTGATAATGTCTCTCATTTAACAACCTTTTATTTTTAATGCATTCTCTCACCCAATCTTCGGTAACAAGGTGAAACATTTTCTGTCTTGTACGATTCATCTGTCTCAGCATTTTGTATCTTGAAGAATCACTAATAACCAATACACAATTTAAAGAGAGAATTTTCTATATAATTTAAATTCAGTGATAAACATCTTACCCTGAGTAAGTAATTACGTGAGTGGTATTCTCATCAACTTTACTAATGATTGTTGCTCCATAGAGTCTTAACTGTAATTCTGTTATGCCTAAGCTGTGACTTTTTATTTTTGTATTTTCTTCTCCTAAAATCGCTTTATCATCTATATAGATCCTGAAAAGATAATGATTTATTGAAAATTAATCATATTTTAATAATTAAAAAAACAATTATACATTATATAAATTCACCTGAAAATTCTAAATAATCCATGCAGAGATTCATTTGGAAAATATTTCAATTCTTTTTCAGCAATCTCTTCATTACTACATTGCTCTTTACATTCCTAATAAAGTAAAGATTAAATTACAAACTAAAATTTGTATACAGTAAATAGAAAAACAAATTTTGAAAAACCTCTTCTGATATTTGCTGGAATATTTCTTTTAGTTCAAATTCTGTTATATTATTTGTGTAACTATCACCATATTTATCAAAATCTTCAGAAAATCTCTCTGATGTAGAATAAGATGATGACAGTAAATCATATGGTTTCCTTCAAGACAAACAGCTAAATTATAATTTTATTATTATTATTATTATTAATTAATGTTAAGAAATGTTTTGATATACCAAGGAATGAAAGAATTTTGATCAATGCATTTTAGAAGCCAAGTCACTTTAACTACATTATACTGTTTTTTTGCAATGATGTTCTTAGCTTTTAATGTAACTTTGTCAACAATTACACAGAATGTATTCATTCCTATATATAAAAAGAAACTTGTCATTTTTTAAAAATTTCATCTAAATGCTTTTTAATGAAACATTTACCTGGATTTTGAGTAATATTTCCTCCATATTCAGCAATTAACTTTTCTAAAGTGTGTTTAGAGTGAGAAGGTGGGCCATTGATTACACAGAATTCTTTCTCTTCAAACATGTGTGATTTCTACTTTGAGAATTAATGTAATATTAGAATTTAGTTAATATCCTTATTCATAAATTTGAGAAATTTATTAATGTGAAATAAATGCAATCATATATTAAATATAAAGATAATAATAACAACTTTATAATAAATGAAGATTCTTCAATATTATGTAAAATGTTTTTGAAAGTAAAAATCAAAACCCATGTTTACCATCTCTTAAAGTTAGTCTATAATTTCAAAATGCAAAAAACTTTTCACTTTGTAAACCTCATTAATGATGATAAACTAAAATTTATCTATAATTAAAATATAAATTTTCGTCTACAAGTACATATCTTCTAATATCAGGACTTATTATACTGTTTACAGATAATGCTACAGAGTTTCACAGAAAACAATTTTTTATTTTATTTAATATACCTGGACACATACATAATATTGCATTTTGGACACTTTCATCCCTCCTCAGCAGGTATTTTTGTAGTATATTCTATATAAATTAAAACAATAAAATAAATTTTAAGAATTACATTTAACATTTACCAACAAACTTATTTATTTATATACATTAATAAAATTCTTACAATTTTCAGACTTTTTTCTTTCGTTTTTAACTCTACTGGAGATTCAATTTTAACCAACAACAACAACAATACTGAAAGAATAAATGAAGACATCCGAGCAATCAAGAGAAATTATGCAAATTCAGTAGTAGTGGAGCACTGTAATACCACATGCTGTGAAATAGTATTAAATTCAGTAAAAATAAGGAAAAAAGAAAAGAATAATTACAAAAGACAACTTTACAAACATATTAATATAATTAGACAAAATAACTTAAGCCTGTATTAAACAAATTATTATATTAATGTTTTACATTATATCTGTTTTTTTACATTTATTTACTATTTTTACAACTTACATCTCTTCCTGTTCAATTTGACTAACTCCACGTTTCCACTTCTTTCGATTGTTCTTTTTATCCTTCAGACACACCCCTTCCTCTATGATTCTTTTTGCTATGATTGGTACATTTCTCTACTGGTATTACTATTTATTCTGTTATTTTGTCTAATTATATTAATATGTTCGTAAAGTTGTCTTTTGTAATTATTCTTTTCTTTTTTCCTTATTTTTACTGAATTTAATATTATTTCACAGCATGTGGTATTACAGTGCTCCACTACTACTGAATTTGCATAATTTCTTGATTGCTCAGATGTCTTCATTTATTCTTTCAGTATTGTTGTTGTTGTTGTTGGTTAAAATTGAATGTCCAGTAGAGTTAAAAACGAAAGAAAAAAGTCTGAAAATTGTAAGAATTTTATTAGTGTATATAAATAAATAAGTTTGTTGGTAAATGTTAAATGTAATTTTAAAATTTATTTTATTGTTTTAATTTACATAGAATATACTACAAAAATACCTGCTGAGGAGGGATGAAAGTGTCCGAAATGCAATATTATGTATGTGTCCAGGTATATTAAATAAAATAAAAAATTGTTTTCTGTGTAACTCTGTAGCATTAACTGTAAAGCCAGTATAATAAGTCCTGATATTAGAAGATACTAAAATATAAATTTTCGTCTACAAGTACGTAGGTCAAGGACATTGAGGCATTTTAATTAATTAATTTATCTATGCAAAGAATATACTCATAAATGCAAAGAATTATTTGTCACTAAAAGTTATAAATAAAAATTATAACTGTATTTTATTNTATTTACTATTTTTACAACTTACATCTCTTCCTGTTCAATTTGACTAACTCCACGTTTCCACTTCTTTCGATTGTTCTTTTTATCCTTCAGACACACCCCTTCCTCTATGATTCTTTTTGCTATGATTGGTACATTTCTCTACTGGTATTACTATTTATTCTGTTATTTTGTCTAATTATATTAATATGTTCGTAAAGTTGTCTTTTGTAATTATTCTTTTCTTTTTTCCTTATTTTTACTGAATTTAATATTATTTCACAGCATGTGGTATTACAGTGCTCCACTACTACTGAATTTGCATAATTTCTTGATTGCTCAGATGTCTTCATTTATTCTTTCAGTATTGTTGTTGTTGTTGTTGGTTAAAATTGAATGTCCAGTAGAGTTAAAAACGAAAGAAAAAAGTCTGAAAATTGTAAGAATTTTATTAGTGTATATAAATAAATAAGTTTGTTGGTAAATGTTAAATGTAATTTTAAAATTTATTTTATTGTTTTAATTTACATAGAATATACTACAAAAATACCTGCTGAGGAGGGATGAAAGTGTCCGAAATGCAATATTATGTATGTGTCCAGGTATATTAAATAAAATAAAAAATTGTTTTCTGTGTAACTCTGTAGCATTAACTGTAAAGCCAGTATAATAAGTCCTGATATTAGAAGATGCTAAAATATAAATTTTCGTCTACAAGTACGTAGGTCAAGGACATTGAGGCATTTTAATTAATTAATTTATCTATGCAAAGAATATACTCATAAATGCAAAGAATTATTTGTCACTAAAAGTTATAAATAAAAATTATAACTGTATTTTATTGTGGATTTTTTAAATAACGAATTAAATATAAAAAATTCTTCAGCATTCAGATTAAATAAAAATTTTTCTCCGCTGACATTTAGAATATTCAAAACAGTGAATTGAAGACAAATTTATCTTTTTACACACATTAAATGTAATGAAAAAATTTCTATGGAAATTAATATATTTAGAAATGGATTTTAAACTCTGTCATATTGTATTCATTTCTAAAAAATGAATTTAAATAATTAGAAAAATTTACACTGTAATTTAGCACCTAAATTAAATCTGTAAATTTAAATTATTTTTGAATTATTATTTTGAAAATTATTTATGATGTGAATAACATGTAAAAGAATTTTAAAGTTACAAACCACTTTAATATCAGAAATATCAGCTGGTTGGAAATGAGGAGCAACAGTAGGTTTTACAGATGTCAAAATAACTTTTCTCTTCTTTGGTGATATTTCATAATTCTGATCTGTAGTAATTGTACAATATCTACCTGCCAGTTTACCACCACCTTCCTGAAACACATTAAATCAGTTAAAAGTGAACTGATCAGTATCTGTATCTAAAATATTTCATAATATGCACAATTATGATTTAGAAAAAAAAAATACCATAAGTTAGCAATTTAAAGAAGCAATAAACATTTAAAAAATTTTATATAGATATAAAAATCATTTGCCAAAAAATGATCCTTATCAAAATAAAAAAAAAATATATACGAGAGTCATTCTAAAAGAAAAGAACATTTTGATCTGACGAGTCGTGCAGTTCTCCCACTACCCCCACTGCTGCGTCATGGACCTTCCCATTTTTTTCACACCAGTCTGACCCTAACAGAGAGCCGCAATGATTGTTTACTGTTTATAGTGTGACAAAATTAAAGATCCCACCAAGTGTGAAGTTCATAGTGCAATATGGTTTTTGAATGCAAAAAAGTCCACCCTATCGAAATTTACAGACAGATAACTGAGGTTTATGGTAATGTGAGTAATGAAGCTCCGTCAGCATCCCTATGATTAATACAGTTTGTGTGCAATTGCACCTTGTGAATTTCTAGTTTTTTCAGATGTTTTACGGCCTGCCTAGATCTTGTAGCTTTAATGATAAGACGCCCGATCCCAAAAGACCTTGATATTCTGCTGCTTGGCAAAGGCAGCAAGCACCGTAGAGTCTATGTTTTTATTTACCGAGTGCTTATGTTCAGCAATTCTTTTCTTTAAGTTTCTCATGGTTGCTCCTATGTATACCAGATTAGAATTAAATCTATGGTCTTTTAACGGTATTGAGTATACCCCTGCCATCGTGTTGCATTCGTAACTGCCTTTATCATTCCTTAAGAGCCTGTATACAGTGGGATTATGCTTGTAAACTATCTGTATGTTCTGGAAAAACTAGAAATGCACAAGGCGCAGTTGCACACAAACTGTATTAATCATAGGGATGCTGACGGATTGTCATCGGCATGGAAATCCTTCTATGATGAGTTGACGTAGTTTATGTAAGCGGGAAGAATAATTAAGATAATTTTTACTGAATGTATATATTTTATTTTATTTCTTTATTTCGATTTAATTAACTTGTATAATTTTTGCAATTATTTAAACTTGGTAAATGTTAACATATATTTATGTAACCGCTTTTTGAATTTTGTTTTACGTAATTTTGAATTCTTCGTTCGATTCAAAATGATAACTGAGGATGATCGCTTAAACGCTCGAAAGCATTTTTGAGATATTAAAAAACGATTTGCTGGATTGTTTAAAGGTTTTGATTTTTATTTATAGTGTAGTTCCAGTAAGAAAGTATTTTATTTATTCAAATAGCAATGATTATTGTCCAGAGGCATTGTGCTTCTTCAGGATAATGCACGTCTGCATGCTGCTGCATTGATGAAGAACTTGCTTCATCAGTTTAAGTGGGAATTTTTTTAACATCCTCCTTATAGCCTGGATCCAAGTGATTACCATCTTTTTCCAAAATTGAAGGATTTTTTATCCAGGAATCACTATGGAAGTGACAATGAACTGAAAGAGGCCATTAATGACTGGTTCAAGAACTTGATGGTAATTGAGTGTGTAGAAGGCATAGAAAAGCTGGCAATATGCTATGACAAATGTTTAAATTTATATGGCGACTATGTAGAAAAATAGCTAAGGTATCATTTGTATTGTAAAATAAGTTTTGTTTCATCATCTTAAATAAAAATATCTAGAGAAACAAACATTCTTTACTTTTAGAATGTAAACATCCTTCGTAAATATTTTTAAAATAAAAACTCATATTTTATGATTCTAGACAAAGATATTTAAATACATGCATGGAATGTTATTTCTTTGGCAAGAATCTCTGAGATGTTTTTCTTTATAGTTAGAGGATCATAACTTATTACAAAAATATAAAAACCTTTCTCAAATTTTCCAATTCTGAAAGTGTAAGACATTGATTCCATGATTTATCATATCTTATTTTTTCAACTCTAGGAAACCTGAGAGAACATCCAGTTTTGAATTGATCACTTTGTGTAATCTCTGCAGCTTTTACCTACAACAGAAAAGCTCACATTAAAATTTAACAAGATGAAACATTTGAAAATATTTTTGTTTTAATTACTTGAAGAACTGCAGAATTTTCTGGCTTGATCCAAACATCTGGTTTCTCTTTATGACCAGGTGCTAAAATAATATTACTTGGAGGATTTTTCTTGTCATATATATTCCAATTAGTATTAAGTTTAGTTAATAGATCACACAATTCTTTATATGAATAACCTGATCCAACTTTTGTAAAAGAATAAAAAACAGGATTTTCATCTGTAAAAGTTAAAATATGTTTTATTTTTAACACTTATTTACAGTTTTAAAACTTGATAAAAATAAATTAATTAATTTACAAGAGGTTTTAAAAAAACTATGAAATATTTAAGTTAATTTTTTATAATAATTAAATAAACACAACATTTATGAAAACATTGCTGTTTTATAAAATGATAGAATTAGATTTATGCAATATATAAGGACCTTGAATAAGTTCTCGCTGTTTTTTTGTGAAAATTAACACTTTATTTTAAAAAAGTTGTAATAAACACGTCACTGAAAGTATTGTCCATCGCTAGCCACTACTTTCTCCCATCGTTCTGGCAGCATTTGAATTCCACGTCGGAAAAACGACACGTCTTTTGAGGCTATCCAAGAATCAACCCATTTTTTGGCATCTTCATAAGAATGGAAGTGCTGCTCAGCCAGGCCATGTGCCATCGATCGGAACAAGTGATAATCCGAAGGGGCGATGTCTGGTGAATACGGCGGGTGGGGTAGGACTTCCCATTTAAGCGTTTCCAAGTACGTTTTCACCGGTTGTGCAACATGTGGCCGAGCATTGTCATGTTGCAAAATCACTTTGTCGTGTCTCTGCTCATATAGCGGCCGTTTTTCCTTCAATGCTTGGCTCAAACGCATCAATTGTAGTCGATAGCGATCTCCCGTGATAGTTTCGTTTGGTTTGAGCAGCTCGTAATAAACTACACCTAGCTGATCCCACCAAATGCAGAGCAGAAGCTTCGAACCATGGATATTCGGCCTTGCTGACGATGTTGATGCATGACCGGGCTTACCCCACGATTTTCTACGCTTAGGGTTATCGTAGTGTATCCATTTTTCGTCACCTGTCACGATACGATGCAGAAAACCTTTCCTTTTCTGCCGTTGAAGCAGCTGTTCACATGTGAAAAGACGCCGTTCGACATCTCTCGGCTTCAACTCGTACGGCACCCAATGTCCTTGCTTTTGAATCATTCCTAATCCTTTTAAACGTTTCGAAACTGTTGTGTGATCAACTCCTAATGATTCTGCAAGTTCAGCTAGCGTCTGACATGAGTCTTCATGAAGTAATGCCTCTAATTCCTTGTCTTCAAACTTTTTTGGTGCACCAGATCATTCTTTATCTTCAACATCAAAATCATTATTTTTGAAGCGTCTAAACCAATCTCTGCATGTTGTTTCCGACAGAGCATGGTCGCCGTAAGTCTCAACAAGAATTCTGTGTGCTTCAGCTGCAGATTTTTTTTGGATAAAATAGTGCAATAAAATTCCCCACAAATACTCTTTTTTTGGCATGAAACTAGACATGTTTAACACAATGAAAAAATAAGTTGTTTACACTTTGGTGAAATGATATATACTGAATTTCAAGGTTGCTTATTGTACTTCCTTACAGATGCGTCACCATCTAAAAATAAACACACATGGTTCTGGTAACACCATCTGTTGGAAAACAGGAGGACTTATTCAAGGTCCTTATATATTTTTAATTTCACTGAAGTAAATCAATGAGTGTACTAAACTTATTAAAAAAATCCACAATTTTTAGCATGCAACCAGCATTATTACTACATATAAATTCTTGTTTAATACATTAAAATTATAATACACGTAATATTTGAAAACTCTCACACATATTCATAGATACATAGACTGCATATTTTTAGAATATTGATTATTCTAACACTCTTATTCTTAAATGCATTCAAATTATTCTTAAAGTAATAATAATTTGAATACACTTAATACATTTCTGTAGATTGTAGATTCTGTAGATTATTCACTACTATTTTTAATCATAGGGAAAAGACAAATATAAAAAAAACTTAATTGAATGTGTTAATTATGCTAACTTAAGTCATAGATCCCTCTCTTCACACCATAATTAAACTTCTGAAATAAACTTTCAATGCTAATTTTAAATAAATGTATTTCAATATACTAAAACATTAACTGGAAAGTCAAAAAGTATTTGCAGTGCTATATAACACAGGTCAACAGTGGTTTTGGTGCCCAGGTATTTTGAGCTGATTTCATATGAATTTGATGTCCTGAATTCAAATATGACATTAGTTTTTGCCTAGGAGCTCTAATTTTTAAGTTATAGCATTTTAGCGAATTTTTCAATATCTTAAGTTAAATCCATGGATCAAGTAAAAAAACTAAACATAGAATTTTTATTATTATATTATGCAAATATTATTCTATACAAAGATAGAGGAAAAAGTCATCAATAAAACTGAACAGTTACACATTGAGGAAGCTTCTTTTCCATGACTTTTGTGAATGTATTTTGGAGCAATCCCTTTTTAAACTCCAGCAGTAATCTGCCATCATATGCGTATTCCATCTTCCTTGGTAGCGGTCCTCCATAATTTTAATATCCTGGTGAAATCTTTCACCTTGTTCTTCACTGGTGTCTCTAAATTTTCAGGAAAACAGTCTAAGTGACTGTGTAAATAGTGCACCTTAATACAGTAGAGCCTCGAAAACTTGGCACTCGATAACCTAGCAGTCTGGATAACTCGGCCACACCCTGGCAGGGCAAAAATATCCTTAGTTAATTAATTTTCATTATAGACAGCTTTATGCCTCATAAAGTATTTTTCTGGGGTCTGTCTTATCAGGTAAATTACTGTACACAGTGTATTTATTAATTTTCATTTTCTTGTAATAAAGGCTCTATGTCCTCATAAAGGTCGTACTTTTCCTTTGTTTAAGGGTATTTGGGCAGTTTATTCTCTGTTGTATTCTCAAGTAAACAATACATAAAATACAGTACAGTATTTTCTGAGGAAAAACTCATACGTAGTTTTTTAACCCCATTCCCGATAACCCGGCATTTTCACAAACTCGGCCACCCTTCGGTCCACGTTAGGCTGAGTTTTCGAGGCTCTACTGTATTCATATTAAACCCAAGGAATTTGAAACTGTTAAGCATCTCATTTACCAGTTCAACATAATTTTCAGCTTTGCATTTGCCTAGAAAATTTCTGACAACTGCAACAAATGAAGTCCAGGCTTTTTGCTCAGTTTCATTCATCGAATTTACGAAGGCAAGATCGTTAATGAGTTGTCTTATTTATGGGCCGCCAAATATTCCTGCTTTAATTTTTTCTATACTTAACTGAGGCATTTTTTCCCCTATATATGCAAAGCATGATCCCTTCTTATCAAGAGCCTTTACAAACTGCTTCATTAGGCCTAGCTTGATGTGCAGTGGAGGAAAGATGATTTTCTCTCGTTCAACTAAGGGGTCGTTAATGACATTTTTTTCTCCAACGTCCATGTTTTCTCTCTTAGGCCACTCTTTTCTAACCCAGTGGTGTGTTTTGTCTCTGCTATCCCAGAGGCACAAGAAGCAAGGATATTTGGTGTAGCCAATTTGCTGTCCAAGGAGAAAGTTTACCATTTTTAAGTCTACACAAATTACCCATTGATGTTCACGATACTTTATCTTCTCCAAGACCAGAGCTATGGTGTTATATTCTTCTTTCATTTTCGTTGAGTGAGCAATTGGTATTGAACCATATTTGTTCCCATTGTGTAGAAGGACACATTTCAAACTTCGTTTTGAGCTGTCAATAAATAGGCGCCAATCATCTGAAAAATATTCAAGAAGGCCCATTTTTTCCAAGAGTCCTCTAATTTCGTGACAAAACACAAAATTGTCTTCTTGAGAGAAGAAGGGTAGCAGATCCTTTTCTCTTGTACGGTAAAAGGTAATTTTGGTTCCTTGCTCCAGTAAATTTTTCTCCTTCAACCCAGAAGCCAATAATTCAGAAGCTTCTTTTGGCAGGTTGAGATCTCTGGTGAGGTCATTTAACTCATCCTGGTTGAAACATTGAGGAATTGATGACATTCTCTCGTAATCACAGTCACCTTCATTAGGATCAGAGGGATACTCGTCCTCACAGAGCTCTGGTAGCTGGTGAAATGATGGAACTGGCACTTCCTGTGAGTGAGGGACCGGGCGTCTTGCAGAGACTAAATCAGGATAAATCCACTTGCTACGGTTGTTACGATTGATTCCATTAATATTTACTAGGCAGAAATAACAGTCATTGAAGTGATTTTTGGGTTCTCTCCAAACCATCGGTACGCCAAATTTCAGACTTTTTCTTTTCCCAGTAGTCCACTGTCGTAAATGTTCTGTACAAGTTTTACAGACCTGATGCGGTGCCCAGGTTTTATCCTGATCACCAAGTTTAACACCAAAGTATCCAAGATAAGATCTCTTTACAAAGTCACTAATAGTTTTTCTGTTTTCTTTTAATGTATATTCTCCGCATATGTAGCAAAACACATCAGAATGATTTACACAACTTCTTCTACTTGAACTCATTTTATTTCTATTCAACAACACAAATAAAAGCATCTAGAACACAGTACTTTGTTCTTTGTTTCCCTTTCCTTCTAGAACTTTCCTTTATAACCCTTTTCCCTTGGGGTGGGATTAACAATTCTTGGAACCACTGAGAACAGAGATGAATGAAGTCCTGATGCTGATGAAAGAGGAGAAAGGGCATTCTTTGCCCAGACCTTGAGGTGGACAGACATGAGTTGTGTTCCAGGTTGTGTTTGGCAACAACTGGAAAGTATGAGAGACTTTGATGAAAGGATCAGGTTTTATTGTGGTTACGACAAAACAGTGTGGCAATTAAGTGTATACGTTAGGGGGGCATAAGAATTTTAGAAAGGCTTAGGTGGGGCATAGCACAAAAAAAATGGAAACACTGATCTAGACACTGCACGGCTAGAACTTACAAACTTACCTCAACTCTAGTTGAAGCATTGAATGTCAATTCGTTACCGAATGCTTGCTTCATTTGATGGATTTACCTGAAACTAACTGGACGGCAGACTAACAATGGGGAAAATATACAGGAATCAATTCTTGCATATGTGATTTAGAACTGTACAAACTGGAATTAGAGTTGCACATTTCAAGTAGCACTGTACGTTAAAAAAACACAGATCTAAAAAAAGTAGAGCTGATAGAAAAAAACTGATTTCATATTTGGATTCAGCGACCCAAATATAGCTAAAATCAGTTCTAAAATCCTAGGCACCAAAAAAAAAACTTTTTTTTGTTGACCTGTGTAATTTATTTATTTAACCTACTAATGTAGAGTTGTATTCAATGAATGACACAATCCATCAAAAAATATTTTTTTTGAGGGGTGATATAAATTTGAAGTATAAGTGGAAACTACAAGATATTAGAATTTTCTAAACTATAGAAAAGCTATTTAATAATTTAATTTTAAAAATCAAGAAAGATAGTTTCATATATTTTTGAAAAAAATTTAAAGATCAAATTTCTTCAAAAATAGGAAGACTTGTGGATGTTAAAACAACTGCCAGAGAATATTACAATAAGAAAACTAGAAAAAAAAATTTGATTATTGCTAATTTGTTAAATTATATATTTGCACAAAATATTTTGTATATCAATCATATTACAGTTCAAATAAAATATTTATTAATTATAAAAATAAGAAGTTATGATTGCATCTTATCAATTATACTGGAAAATTTATATAGGATTTTACTTAAAATACATTAATTGCAAAAAAGTTATGCACCGAGTTAGAATTTTCTAATTACTGAAAAACTCAGTATACAGCTGTGTCTTAGACAGGTATGTAAATCATTATAGTTGTGGTCTTATTGCATACCATCGATTGCTCTAATGCCTTAAAATTTCTAATTCAGTATCTGTAAAAAGGCTCATTGTCTTTGGAAGTTTTAGTGTATCTGTCGTTTAAAAGTCTTCAAATGTCAGGCATGCCTATATGGTGCAATCAAAGACATCAAAGTGTTTGAGAAAGGTCATATTGAGTTCACGGAAGTAAGATAGCCATTTTGTCAAATTGTTCATCATCTGGACAGTTCTAACCTGACTATGAGCAGTTGTTGTGAGCCACATATGGATGGCTGACAAGCATTGGATATCCAAGACAGATCACAGGAGAGATGATCATCTGATCTGAGACAAGCTGTAATGGTGTCTTTGTCCATTATCCAGAGACAGGTGGAAGCCTCACTAGAGTCCAATCTCTTTCTGTACCATTGGCAAGTAACTAGCAGAGAAAAGCTTACATGTATAGTGACTACTAAGCATCTTGCCAGTAGCATAGCATCCTATCATCATCAACTTCATTTGCAGTAATGTCATGATAGAAAAGTAATCATTGCTGTAGACTGGTAGTGTACTATCTTTAACAATGAATCCTGGTTTTGTTTGGGAACAGATGTCCATCATGTTAGTTTGTGGAGGACCACTAGTGAGTTCTTCAATCTTTTAATGGTTGAGTAACACACTATTCTTACTGATGGTGTGCTGGTTTGGGCCTTATTAGTGGTATGAGGGATATTGATGGCACAGCAGTATGTTCAGGAAATTGTGTCTTCGTGTATTGTCTGTTTGTGGTCCTGACATGGAAAGCATTTTCCAGCAACAGCCAACTGCCTATGGTTAGGGTTTTCCAAAAATGTCTCTGCCATATTGCTGCACATCCTTGGCATACCTAGACTCTTGATTTGTCATTTATTGAGTATTTGTGGAACCAGATGGAATGCCATCATTACATTTGCACTAATAAAATTCCAATGCTGCCTTTTTTGGTGCATAAATTTTTTGTCAATGAGTATTTAACATGCATTATATTCACAATGTCATTATATTGTGTCTAGAATGAGAAAATAATTTAATATTTCTATCATTCTTATATTGTTTGATATAGTTATACTGTACATTATTAATTTTTACCCCTCACTATCTCAACTAGAGATAAATGCATAAATTTTAAACATAGGTATAGTATAAGTGTGACAATTTTTAAATATGATAGTTTTATGTCAGTAAATATGACCTTCACGCGAAGAGTTTTGTCATGTTACTAATTATGTTTTTTAATTTTTTTTTAATAATTTGTAGTATTGCACTGACGAGGGACTTAACTTTTATATAAGTCCGAAATGCATATGTTGAAACAATAAAAGAAGTGTCTAACCTGAAAGCTGTAATGATAGTCTACTGAACTTAATGTCAGATTAAAGAGACAAGACATACATAGGATAAATTTTAAATATTAGTCTGTAACTGAAAGTAAATATTTGATTATTGTATGTCACAAACATATTCTATATGACAAATGAAGTTAAAAATGGTATATAGTAAGACCAAATAATCTATATCCATTACTATTAGTCAATATAACGTAATGTTATAATAATAATCCAAATAAAAATATATAAAAACCTCAAATTAACAAATACCAAATGATGTCATATTATTGGACTAAAATAAGACTAATTTAATAATTAGATACAAAGTAATCTGACTAAAGGTAGGCATCCTAACTATCTATCTCTAGTTCAAATTACTTTATATCTAATTATTACAATAGTCTTATTATAGCCCAATAATATGACAGATCATTTGGTATTTCAATATTTGGTTAGTGGATTAATTGTTATACGAGGGCTGTTCGAAAAGTTCGTGGCCTNGAACATCGCTGGAATAAGTGCATTGCTAACAGAGGAGATTACGTTGAAAAATAAAAAAAGTTTTAACATTATTTTGTTTGTTTTTCTATGTGAGGCCATGAACTTTCCGAACAGCCCTCGTAAATTAACATTAAACATATATTACTATAAGTTTTTATTTAAAGATTAGTTAAGTAAATAAATGTTAAAGTAATTACCATTTTTATCATTTGCACAAACCCCTAATAAAAAATGTGATATCAAGCCACCTCTTCTTCCTTCACCAAAATAGCCTCCTATAATCAGTAGATCTAATTCATCCGTAAGATTATTAACATATTCTGGTTTAACTTTAACCCATCCTCTTTTCCTACTATTTGGATAGTATACTGATGACATATCTTTAATCATAATTCCTTCCTCACGATTATCAATTGCTTCATTTAGAGCATCAACTACTTCTTTTCTGATAAATTATAAAATTAATTTATTAATTAAAATATTGTTAATTAGTTTAATAAGTAAGAGAATTTTTTATAGTTCAAAAGTAAGATATTAATTTTTTAATTACTACTTATAATTTGTCAACAAAAATGTAATTATTGATAATTACTCTGTAGAAGCATGTTTTACTGGACTGCATTGAATTCGTCCTTCTATTGGTGTAAATAAGTTTTCCAAATATTGAAGCCGTTCACTTAATGGATAGTTTGTTAGAACTTTATCATTATAAAATAAGATGTCAAAAATAATGATACATTGCTGATATATATCTCCAGGATGAAGGTTCTTTACATCAAAATTTTCACCTTTAGATCCTAAAATTGAATTAAATTGATTTAAAATTGCGGTAATGATTATTATTTAAAATCAAAATGATCATATTAATTACCAAAATTTGAATAAATAAAATTTAATTAATACTAAAATTTTTCATAAGATTAATCCAGTAATTAATATATATATATATGTTACCCTGAAAGACTGAAATTAGAGAATGTTGACCCATACAAAATATGTCAGTGAAAGACTGAATATTTGGTTATATTATTATACATTCGAACAATTCCTGGTGTATGTCGACAAGCACAGATAAGCTTTGGTGGAGGTCGAAATGACACCCGATGTTGACAGAAAGGCAACAGTCTGTCTCCAAATCCTTTGTTCTGACATGATTGAAATCACGTGGTATCTATTTGTTATACTCTGGAACACCACTGTTTGTCAGTCTTATGCAAGGTTTGCTGGTGCATGCAGCATTTTCTTAAATTTTATTTTTTTTATCTGATACCCTAATTTATATTGAATGGATACTGCAGTGAACCAAGAACTTTTTTTTGAAAAGTTACATGCATTAATTACAAGTAAATGACAAGACAATTGTTTTTATTTTTCTCAAGAAAAGTACTCTAAAATACTTTCTGAAGTGATTTCTGCTAAAACTAAGTGCAGCACACTTTTGGATTACAGATCATTACATTTTGATGTTTTAAAAATTAATGATGAAGAGAAATTAATTGTACCATTAAAACCAGGAGAAATGAACATACAGTATTATGTTACTAATGATAAATTGTTCAGTATACTATCTGAAACTCACAGCAGAACAGGCAATGGAGGAAGAACACGTATGCTTAAAGAATTGCAACTTAAATACAAAAATATTACATATGAAATGGTAATGTTGTATTTAAATTTATGTAAACAATGTCAAATGAAACATAGTGCACCTAAAAATGGTATTGTTGTGAAGCCAATGATCAGTTCGGAGTTAAACTCGATGTCAAGTCGATCTGTTAGACCTGTAGTTACACAAGGATGGTGAATATATTTAACAAATGATGGTGAATATATATTTAACGAAATTTGTCCAGCTACTACCTTTGAAAACTAAGACAGCTGAAGAAGTAGCGTATCACCTTCTTCAAATATTTTTAACATTTGGTGTCCCAGCTATATTGCATTCAGATAATGGTAGGGAATTCTGTAATCAAGTCATATCCGAACTATGCGCTATGTGGAAAGACGTTAAGATAGTTTATGGAAAGCCTCATCATAGTCAAACAAGGCTCTGTTTAAAGGGCCAATCAGGATACACAGAATGTTAACTGCATGGATGAACGATACAAGTAAATGATCGGATGGTTTGCCCTTTGTACAATTTGCCAGGAACATTACATATCACAAAGGATTATGCCAAAGTCCTTATGAAACCATGTTTGGCATTAAACCAGAAAGAGACATAGCATCGTCATTTTTTCCTGGTGAACAAATCACAAATATTGAAAACGAAGAACAGTTCAAAGAAATTGTTAATACTTTTGAAGGAAATTTGAGTAGTGACCATAACGAATACCATATTCCAAAGGAAAATATTGAAGAGGAGCTGCAACCCACCACGTTTTCATGTCCTGACTGTACAACAGGAATTTATTTGTATAAAAAGAGCAGCCACGAAAGCAACAAAAATGTTACAAACCTCAAAAAGAAAATTTCCTCCTGCTCAAATTGATATACAATATGAATACAAGTCCCCGATGTTGACTGTGGCTGTACAGATGCCCAAAATGTGTTGGCAGTTGTTGGAATAAAGACTCAAACTTTCATAAATTAGCAAATGAAAAGGTACTCTCCAGCAGTTTTATACCTGTAATCAGTTCATAATTTGTAAAGAAAAGTTACTTTCCATAGATGAGATTTCTTCTCAAGAAATATTGCCGAGAGAAACAGATAATTCAAAAAGTGGAGGGCAAGGCTATACATGCTGTCATTGCAAAAAAGAAGCGAATAAATGCAGTTGTAAGAGCAAGAGACTCCTGTGACATTCTTGCAATAAATAAGATTGTATAACATTAATCACATAATATATATGTAAGTTTACTTTTGCATATTATTTTTCTTTTCTGATTAAGAATGTACTGTTCATTTTAGGTTAAACAGTTTATTTACTTGTGCTGTTACTTAAGCTTTCTCCTATTTTGACATATTAAAAAGTTGCATTTTTGTCTTAATGTAATAAAAATATTTTTATTCAACATTCACCATCAGTGCATGCTGAATGTCAACATTTACCAGCGTAAGTGAAAAATAATGATATTTAGCAAATATTTCGTACATACACAAAACAACTTTGTGAATGCTGACATTCACCGGAGAATCTCAACATTTGCCAGATTTGGTCTTTCACAGTAACACATATATCTAAAAGTAAATATAATTTACATATCAAAGAAAATTTCTTGCATTTTATTAATATCTACATTCTTATATTACTCCTGATAATGTCAAATTACTATTTATTTTCAGTTATATCAGTTGACAATATCAATAATACAAATCTCTACAATGTAAATTATTATGTTTGTTCCAATAATTATCAATTTATCAAGAAATAACTCATATGCCAATTAACATTTATCTGTTTCCAAGTGTCAAAACAAGTAAGATAACAAATATAAAAATAGNCACTTTTATGTGGTGTTTTTCTGAGGACTGTGTGTCATGCTGAATCAAACTTTGTTGATACTAGATAACTTCTAAAGTATAAATTTTTTTTTGTTTTTATATTTTTCAATATATTTATTTTGTTTGTAAAAAATAAATAAATAATTTTTAACGATACAATAGCCACCATTATTATTTTAAAAAGTTTACATTAGGCTTAACATTGACGAAAATTCAACGCGAAGCGACACGTAACGGAGAAAAATTTCAACACAGGATAGGTTAATGTATTTTTTCGTACATAATCAGTTATCCGAAAAATAAGTTATCCAAACAACCCCAGTCCCCAATTGATTCAGATAAACGATGCTCTACTGTATTGTATTAATAAATTATTATTATGTAATTTAACTTAAGCATATTTAAATACAAATTCTTGGATACTATTTATATTATGTGAATGTCAATTAATGCAGGTTTTATTAATTTGATTTAGATTCAAGTGCATACCAGAAAATGAAAATAGTAACTTTCCTACATGTGCATCAAATCTAATTTGAATAATGTTGATGGTTCCTATCATGACATATGATAATGCAAAGCAATCTTGGTGCCACTAACTTCTGAATTGGTAGTACCATTGTTGATTGGTGGGCTAGTGACTTTCTTTAACATGGCGAGTTCAGGGAGTTGACTGTCTCTCTAATTTGTGGCCAGCTCTTGCCAAGTAGGTTATTCGGCAACCAGGGAAAATAAGGCATTCAAAATTTTGCTTGTGAACTGAATTGTTCAAAAATGAAGGTTTGACTGTAATTTAAAATCATTCAATATCTATTTAATATTTCTACTTATAATATAAAACTTTAAGATTAATACCAATACAATTCAACTTTGTGTTATATCCAACAATTTCTCCATCCAAAATACAATTTTTCACTTTACTACTAAAAGCTCTATCTATGAAAGGTGTAAATGATCCTTTGAAAGATGTTGATCCATAATAATCAGTAAAATCAATACAGCTAAAAAGCAAAATAAAAAAAATTAAGTTGGTTACTCCAAAGAAGTGTATTTATATATAACCAATGTTAGAAAATTAAATAAATATAAAATATTTTTGTTAGTTTTAATAAATAAAAATGAAATCTTATAATTTTATTCAACAATTATAATTACTAAATTCCTACCTATACACACATACATACAAATATTGGCCATTAAATAAGGGCAATCTTTTACAGACTTACTGTAAATAGAATTATGTAAAATGATGTATCAGTTTAACTACTATAGTATGCTCTTTTTAAACAAGTACATGTGTGTTGTGATAGCATTGTTAATTTTCATGTAGATATAAATTGAATGAGACATTAATGACTTGTGTCAAATGTCAAAAACTTTAAAATGAAACACAAGCAGTGATAAAATTTTACATTAAATTTAATGAATCAACTTAGATTTTAATGATATTAAAATATTGCACAGAGATGATTGAATTCATGGGTTTTTAGACAGATTGTCTGATTTTTGGGGCTGCAATTTGAAAAAATTGTAGACCCATAAAATTCCCAGTTATCTGTCCCATCTGACTTTCCTTAATCATGAGAACAGAGTTAGATAGATAAGACCAGATATGGAAACCTTAGGGGCAGGAGGCCCTGATTAACTATATATGAACTTCTGATGCAAACCAAAAGTCACATTGTTTCAATTCATAACTTCTCCCCTGAAAACAGTAAATAGATGACCGACATGACTCTATTGTTAAAAGAAAAGTAAGATGTACAGGGNAAAAATCCATAATTATTATCGAAAGTAAATTCAATTTCGGATAAACGTGAATTCCGATGAATAACGATTACGCTACGTTAACCATTTTGTATTCGTCGTTATCCATCTCTGAAATGCTTCGAGGTTCTCGTGTCTTTGCTCCGATGATTAAAAATTCCAGCTCAATGTCAAAATAAATAATTGCTCATTAGATGGTAGGAGTTTCATCTGACTAGGAAGTTGGTTGATTCTTGTTTTGACACAAACCAATGAGAACATGAAAAAGTTCATAAGCTCTTCAACCATAATCATTGAATCACCATTTATAAGTTTATTAACAGTTAGTATTATCTCAGTATCATGCAATGTATAAATCAATGCAAGAGATGAGTAAAAAGGGAGCAGTACCAAGGAAAAGCTGAGTATTGCTGTATGACAATGCATCTGTACATTCTACATTAAATGTGAGGCAATTTCTCTCTTCTAAATCCTTCAATATCCATCATACTTACCAAATTAGAAGTAGCAGTGGACTTACTTTATTTCCAATTGAAAAGATAACTGAGTGGAGATCATCCAGAAGAATATAATTACCAAGCTCAGTGTTATATTTTTAGTAGAGCTGTGGAATCGTGTGAAAATCTACTGACTCCAACTCGCCTTACCATCCAACTAGAACTCGAGGCGGACTTGTTACCAAAATAGACCCAGAAATTCTGATGTCATCACGTGACCTCAGAATAAAATATTCAATAAGTAGAGTTCTAATAACGATAGAACGTAGAAACGTTTTTATTCCAAAGCTAAAAGACTCCTCTAAGTAATGATACAGTCAATATATAAATATGTTTTCGATAATTTTTACTTTTTACTGGCTGTTATATATAACAGAGGGAAAGTGTAGTGATTGGACAAAAAATGACCCCTCCCAAATTCTTAAAATTTTTGGACTCAGGACACCTTGAAATGTAGAGATATGCAAAAAGATTTGGTTTGTTTTTCTGTATATATGGATGTTACACTGTGTGTGTGGGGGGGACAATTTTGTTCACCCTGTTTGAAGCCTAATAACTTCTGTGGTTTTAAATTGGAGTTGGATGGTTTAACACATGGAGTTATTAAGCTTCAAAGTATTTAAACTAAATCAACCTCCCCATACACATTCTAACATCTTAGGCAAGAACTCTTAACGGGTTTTACTGTACTATTATAAAATGACAAAAAGCTTCATTTTGAGGGTAGAGACAAGTTTTGTTTAAAAGGAATTGTGAACACGAATAATGAGTAAAATATTCATTAAATTCGACCGCATTGGAGATATGACACATGACCCTTTCTATGTCTCCACCCTGTTGACCTTTAATTAAGAACCAAAATTTAATAGCATTAATGCCCCTTTATACACAAGCTACAGTGCCAAATTTCGTTTCTTAAACTTTACTCATTCTGAGATATTGTTTAATATCTCAGAACAGAGAGTAAAGAACTTAAACAAATTAGATGCCAACACACATGCACACGTGAATTTTTTTCCTCTAATTGACATTATTTTCGGTTCAGGAGGTCTCCAAATGCATAGATTTGCAAAATACTTGGATGGTCAAATTTGAAACAATTCCAATATTTTTGTTTTATAAATAACAAGTTGAGAAGTAAAAAGGAGTCAGAGTCGGTGGATTTTTGATGACTTTGACTCCAACTAAAACACCAAAACTCCGACTCCGCAGCCCTTATTTTTAGGAACTTATTTTAAAAAGTGGTTTTAAAGTGTTTACATATTGTGTAAACGTTATAATTGATTAAGTGGAGATTATATTAAAAATAAATAAAAGATTTATCTTCCTGCATTTGCTGTTTTTCTAATATGAATTTTGTCCCATTATTTAATATTTGCATCATTTACAATTAACTCTCTTTACATCTTATGTTATATGTAATAATAAATTTAAGTTTTCTTACTTTCTAGAAAAATACATATATTTATTTCCTTCTTTATGCAGCTGAATTCTCTCTCCATCATATTTAGTTTCAATATGAAAGGCCTGATTATTCATTAATTTTTCTATCTAAATAATGAACAAGTAAATCAATATATATATTGTAAGGATGTAAATGTTCATAATTATATTATTTATTAAATCAACCATTATATTAATATTTATATTGAGAAAACACATAAAAATCTTTGTATATAAATCAGTCCATTAATATGTACAAAATATAAATATGGGAATGTGAATATAACTTGATTATAAATGACATTTCATTATCTATAACAGTGATTCCCAAACATTTTCAAGCCACTGCACCCTTGAGTCCAAAGTTATACACAACACCCAACTGTATCCCAATGACCTCTAACTTATTTTTCATTGTGTGAGAAAAGCTTGGAAATATTTTTAGAAAAAGTTTTCTATGAAACTCACATTTTATGTCTACTGTACATAGTTCTCCACATCTGGAAACCATTAAAAGCAATGTTTCTTCTTGCCAGTTTTAAAAGAGGAAAAGGAAAGGTTGTCAGTGATCCCAACTTTTGCCTATGGTCACCATTCAGTATCCTGTTGCCACTGTCCCCCTGATGCCCATTTGCTTCTTTCACCTCCTAGATTTGTTCATTGCCCACACAGAGCAATAGCACCCACTTTGGAAACCATTGATCTATAATAAAATAATGCTTAAAAACAAATTCATATTATTATTATTATTATTACTGGGTTGAAATTTTCAAATTGCAGATCTGTACATTCCCACTGTCATCTGTTGTCTATCCTTTGTTAATCTCAAGAATGCAGTTAGATGCATGAAAATCAAGACCATATATGGAAAGCTTAGGAGTCTGAGACCCCAATTAACTGCATACCAACTTTGCCTGGACCAGAGGTCATACGATTTCAATTAAGAATTTTCCCCAGATTAGAGTTAGGTTGATGACCAGCATGACTGTTTGTTATCAGGAGAAGCATGATGTACAGAGACAAGTCACAACTAAAATCCAGACTAGATATGGAAAGTTTATAGGCAGAGACCCCAATTAACTATACACAAACTTCCAGCACAGTATAGTGATGACATCATAATAAATAAGGGCTTGTTTATGGTAGTACTTACAGGATTATAGTATCTGAATTAAACATAAAAATTTTTATATGAATTTAATAAAATACTTGGATTTGCAAAATAAAAATAAAAATTTCAATTGATATTAAGTAAGAAATCAAGTTATTCCTCAAAGAAAAAACGGAGCATTTTCAATTTTTATATTATTCAATTTATATTATGTATATCCTAATGAAGAAAAAATATTAAATGCCGTAACTTTTCCTAGATGCCAGCAGAAAATTTCAGAAAATAATATAATAGCTTTCCATTATTATATGGTGAACACAGAACTGTATGCAACTAATTAAATATTTTGTAGTTTTTCAATAATAAAGTACAGTGGAATCTTGCTTAAGAGCACCTTGCAAAACGAGCAAAACAAATTTGTAAAAAATGACTGGCTTAATGAGTGATGTTTCACATAATGAGTAAAGAGAAAGGATATCCTAGATTGTGAGCATGCTCCATCAGTTTAGCGCTCGTTCCGCTAGTATCTTAGTGTTGCTTGTGATCACACATTTTTCCAAACTTGTGTTCACACATATTACGTATAAACATCAACAACCATAGCCTGTTATATAATAAACATGCCAAACAATATGCCAAATTTTTGGGCTGTGTGAAGGTTATAATTAAATATTACAAATTGTTTCATTTGACTAGAGGTAGGCAGTTATGCTACCATCTCGTATTAAATTTAATGACCAATTCCAGAAATGTCTAAACTAATTAAAAATTATTTATTTATAATTATTAAATTTAATACGAGATTACAGCATAACTGCGTACATCTAGTCAAATGAATTAATTTCTAATATTTAATTATAGCCTTTACATAGCCCAAGAATTTGCCATATCGTTTGGCGTGTTTATCAGACATATTATCTGTAATTTTTTTTTGTTTTCTGCAAATAGAATTTGCTAGAAGAAAAGATGATGATGATTCATGCTCCTTAAAAATGTATATTGTATAATTTTCTTTGAATAAATATTATACATAAAATATTTGAGTATTTTTTTTGGTGTGAAATGCATTATTGTATTTTACATCAATTTATATGGGAAAAATTGTTTCGCTTAACGAGTGTTTTGCATTACAAGTAAGATTCTGGAATAAATTATGTACATTAGATGAGGTTCCACTATATTCCTATTACATTCAATATATTATATTTAAGACCATAAGCAGATATGTAAATTCCAGTTACATAAAATAGTAAGTTTTTGATAAACAATCACAGTTGATTGAATTTTCTGAAATTACATTTCATAGTTAGCCATGTATGGTTCTATATTTACAATAAGTATTAGACCAATGAAGTAAAAAACTGTGCAAAAATGATATATATAAAACTGCCAAAATATATTAAGACAAAATACCATGGTAACTTCAAAAAATATACTAACAATGTCCAACTTCTGTCAATAGATATATAATCTTAGAAAAAAGATTAATCTATATAAAATTCATAAATACCTTTAATAAACTCAAAGCAAAGCAATCAAAAATTTTTCAGAGAAATAAAAGCAGAAAAATATGGTGAAATTAAATACAATCAACACCTTAATAAAAATAAATGGTCATATCATCAAATGGCAAATGCCAAATTTTCTCCTAGTAATTTCACTTTGTTTTACTAGGTTTGAATTTGTTTAAAAATAAATACGTAGGCTTTCTTTTTCAACTTCTGATAGTTCATAAAAAAAAGACAAGTGTAAATAACAAAATTTAGATACAAACATGCTTACTTTATGACATAATCACCATAAAGATTGAGGAATTTGTCTATCTGTAGATGAGCTTTGAAATCCCCTCTTCATAGAATGTTGACACCCAGTGATTGAGATGGGCCTTAATGTTGTTTTGAAGATTGTCATTAGTCTCAAATCTCTGCCCTGCTAGCCACGTTTATAGTTCAGGAAAGAGGTGGAAGTCGTCGTACATTAAAGGTGTGAAGACTTTCACCTTTCAGACTTCCACCTAGCTTGGAATTTTTAAACACTCAGCATAAAGCCCCGATTTAGGACCAAGCAACTTCCACCTAGAATGTAGTGGACATCATGGAATAATTGTTGGTTTAGCGTATACCTGTATTGCCAATGATATTGTAAGTGTTATGGTCAATGTTAAAGTTGAAAAATGCACCCCTGGTCGTGATGTGGTTTGTACATACCCATTTTGGCTTGCATGACTTTGAGAAAGCTGGAAGTGGTGTGCTTTGTATTAAATGATAATATAATAGTTATTGAATTCACAAGACTATGATACACTTTGTATTACATATTAACCAATATTTTGTATTAATTGAACTCATTAACATTGAAATGACCATCCTCATGCATGTATATAATGTATAAAGTATAAATTAAATCATTTATTCACAAGATTAATTAAAAGCATATTTTTAAGACAGACTTTTCTGATGAAAGATATTTAATTATGCTAACCTGTTTTGGAGGAGCATATTCAGCTAACATTGGACGAAAAGGATTAAAGAGAGAGATCTCAATCTCATTTAACCTAATATTTGGATTCTTCAGCATTGAGCATACCTAAAATAAAGTGACCAATTAGCAATTGCATTAAACTTTAATTAAAACTTTTTAATTTTATAAAGAATTAAGAAATATACTTTAGATAAGCTGCTGGTTACATCAAATAAATCTTTGGCATCTGGATGATAAGCAGCAAAAACTGTATTTTCACTAATTCCCATTTTTAAATCTTTCATAATCATTCTTATTAACCATTTCTGTTCTCTGGCTGAAGTATTTCGCAATAAACGCAAAATACTTTTCTTCATTTCATCTAAAAATAAAGTTTAGAAAAAATATTATTATTATTTAATAAATGCTAACAAACAAATAAATCAAACTATTAAACACCAGATTAGTTCAGGCCATATTTTGGCTAACTATTAATTATTGATATAAAGTAATTTGTCCTAAACATAGTCAAAGTACAGCTATAGCCCAAAATAATCCAGCATTTAATAAGTTTGATTATTATGGCAAGTTTAGTAATAAATATTTATACATAATAATTTTAAATATCACAACTGTTTCAAAAGATATATTTTTTTAATTTTACAGAAATTTTTACATTCCCATATAAAAATGAATAACTTACATTCACTTTTTAATATAATATTAAAGAATCATTTTTAAAAGTTAACGACAAGCACAACATGAATCATTAATTCTTACTGAATGATAAGTATTAAATAGTAAAATAATAGTTTTGAAGATTTGATTAATCAAATTAAAAATGATAACAGAAGATATTGACTAAAGAAATAAGGAAAAAATAAAATTATAATTGGCATTTAAATGCAATTTTTTTTTAATTAACTACTGTTCCTGAAATTCTAATAATAACTGATTTCAATTTTATACTGTAACAAATATTACAGTCGACCCCCCTATAACACAGTAGATACATTCTGGTTTTTATGAATCCATTTTCTACAAGTCCAGCCAATCACAGCTCGGCATGTTTGCAGTTTACGGATTATGGCTGTTTGAAAGGTTTCTTCTATAAAATTAATCGATTCTAGACTAATTCGACTCAACATTTCCAAAATACATATAATTTTGAGGGAATAATCCATATAAACTTTGCTATAAACAAAAAATTGTAGGATTACTTACCGAGTGTGCACCATTAATGCCATTGCTTAAGCTTGTTTTTGTCGTGGAGCTTGTCACCGAATGGTGCTCGTTTGCTTCCTGATAACTAATTTTTTTTTTGCAAAAAATTCGCTGAACTTTGGAGACATCATTAACATAAATATAATTTTTATGGATGTTAAATAATAAATGATTTTTAGTAGATCCACTGCTCGTTTAAACTCAATGGTTTGTATAATATCCGCTATTGGTCTAGATTCAACCAATCCTGTCACAACACGAGTCAGCAATGACATTTTACCAAATTATACGAGTTTTTTTAGCATGTTTGTACAAATACTATCGCAATTTTTTTGCCATGATATAGGAATCCAAGCTATAGGAACCCGTGTTATAGGGAGGGTCGACTGTATTTTACTGTATTTACTTGAATGTAAGATGTACTTTGTCATATTTTAGTATCTTTGAAAATAGGAGTCCATGTTAGATTCAATGTACAAGTTGCAACAATTTAATTTCTGGAATGCACCTTTAAAAAATAAACATGTATAACTGTATACTAATGGCTACTGTCACTTTTAAAGTAGTCTCCTTATGCATCTATACACTGACTTAAATGGCATTCCCATTTCTAGAAGCAGGTCTAGAATTCATTTTCCAGAATACTGTTGAGTAGCTGTCTTACATTCTGTTAGATATAAAGTTATATTAGAAAATCTTCATCCTTTCAGCACAGCTTTTAATTTTGGAAATACCCAGAAATCACAGGGACTAAGTCAGGTGAATAGGCAGAATGATCTAATTGGGTAATTGCTTTTTTGGCCAGAAAATGTCTCTCAGTGAGTTCACTGTGACTTGGTGCATTGTCATGATGAATGGTCCATTTGACAGGACACAGTTCAGGCCTTTTTCTTCAAACAGAATCTTGTAATCTCTGCAGTACTTCTAAATAGCATTATTTGGCTGTTTGTCTCTGTTCAATAAATTCTTGGTGGACTATTCCCTTCTGATTATAGAAACACACCAGTCTTAAGCTGTGAGTGTGACATGAGTGATTTCCATTGCATGCTCTGGTGCTTTGTCTCTGGGTCACACTGCAACATTTTAGTAGTGCATTTACCAATTTTCACACAAAATTTAATATTAATATGTTACTCTAAATTTCAGTCATTCATTTTTATGCCAAAGAGTATATACAGATAACTATTACCTTGCTAATTGCTAATTAACAGCTAGCTCTATCAGCTTGAAATTTATGCAAGCATTAGTTCAAACTAGTTCAAACATAAATACATGTCATTTCAATATGATTATGTTATGGGCAATACCATGCAGCCAATCAGGAAATTAAATTGTCAATAGTTCTATGATGTCATTTTAACGATTTTATTAGACCAATATTTGTAATAGAAAATATTTAAGAGGTCAACTCAGTTCAATCTTGTTAATCTATTATAGTAACAACATAAGTACCTGAAGAAAATTGCAGAAAAAGTTGTGCAGCCTTTTTTTCAAGAAATGTTGCATTTCTAATCATTTAAATGGCATTGAGTATAATTACACATGGAAAGATATGAACATTGAATCCAGTTTTAGTTTATTAAAACTAAAACTAATACTCAGGAATGTGAATGAAACAACATTAGTGTTGATTTAGAAGAACCTAACATGGCAAATGAACCTTCAATTTAGATATTGGGGAAGACAGTGATATAACTTATTTTACTTGCAATAAATACTGAGCATGTTCTGTTGACAAATTTGTCTCAAGTTGTCTATTTAAAAAAAATCTATGGGTGAAATGTAGAAATTAAGACGAATCTTAGATTCAAGTAAATACTGTAAATTTTGAACTACTTTTTGTTGATAAATCTTAATTTTTTGTTGGTTTCATCTTCAGACCAACAAAAAAATCTGAACAATTAGAATATCTTTTAGATTATTTAGAATTAAAATTTGTGTCGCTAATCATCAGTTAATGTATTTTGTTCTTCAAACTTTTCTGTCGATTTAAAGATGAGACATAAATCATGTGAAAAAAAATTTTATCACAATAAAAAAAAGTTTATTATAGTTTTCTGTTATAAAATTAAAGTATAAAGATTTATAAATTCAGAAGAAATTTTTGAATATTACCTTTATTCTTCAAAGCATTATTTGTTGCAATACTATCTAAACAATTATTTACTTCTTCAATGGATAGGGTTCCTTTTTCAGGGCAACGTAAACTTAACACATGATATGCTACATTTGCAAAGTCACCCGCTTCCTAAAACATTGAAAATGACAATTAATCTGAGAATACAATGTGGATATAACGAGGATACATATAAAAATTACTTACAGTTTTAGTATTTCTTGAAAAACGATAATTAAGTAATTTCTGTGCATCGTCACTGTCTTTACTTAAGCAAAGAATCTCAATATATAATTTGGCCAACATAAACTATAAAAATTAGTTAGCATGAGAAAATACATACTAAACTTAAAATTTATGAACTGAAAAATAAACACATAGTAATATAAACAATCATTAAAATACAATATTTTAATTTTTAATTTTAATAAATTGAATTAATTCTCAAGATTAGAAAGGACATACATGTATATACAAAAGATAGTTTTATTAACTTTTCAGATAATAAGTTGACTAATATGTAAATTGAAACTAGTTACTGCCTTATTTAATTATTAAAATAATATAGTACAAATATTTCAATCAGTTTACTTGTGATACTATTTATTTAATTATTAAAAAAATCAATAATTTACAATATCCTGTAAGTTAACATGGTAAAATATTTTTATGTAACAATGATATTTGTATTATTCTATCATGTACAAAATAATAAAGAATTCTCATATTGTGTACAGAAAGATAAATACAATTCTGCTCCTACTTAATTCTAACAAAGACTAATGTTAACAAACATGTGTCTGTATGTTCCTTCATCTTAAAACCTTTGTTTCTCAGAAAAAGTTTGAATAACCTTGTAAACACCTTTCCAGTTAATTTGCATGCAGAAATGAATACTTAAGTTGACAACATTTAATTGAATGTAGTTTTTATTTCTTTTTTGTCTACTTGTATGAGTTCTTCTTTGCTTAGATGCAATTTTATTCAAAAGATATGGCATCAGCCTTCATGACAAAATTTAATTTACAATAATCTTTCTGTTAATAACAAAATTAAAAATTAATTTGGAATAAATGAAAAAAAATGTCAACTTGAAAAGTTACTATTAGAAGCATTTTTATACTGGACAGGGGTAAGTTTAATAACTGAAATGGAAGGGAGAAGTGCCAGTATGGAAAAAGCAAGTACTGACTGTATTTTTGCATTTAATTACTTTAAATAAAATTAAACAGTAAAATTGATGCACTAGGGTTCATCTATATCAAATAAGCTTAAAAATGATGTATAAAATGTAAATTTAATTCATTTACAAATACTGTACCTTAACAAATTGGAAACAGATTTTACCTTAGTGTACTCAAACTGCATTTAATTAAAAACAATCACACTTCAAACAACCTTTTAGTATGTAGCCTTTGTTCTGTAGAAATCAGAATTGTTTGATTTCGTTTCCCGAAGGTGGTCAATCAAATGACTGAAAGCATTTGATGAGTAATAAAAAAGGCTGCATACTAAAAGATTGTTTGAAGTGTGATTGCCTTAGTGTATTCTGTTCACAGATGTATATATAGATGTATTTTGTAAATTTTTTCATTTTTACTCTGTTGCCAAAATTTTTTCCATCAAATTTAATTATATATCTTAATATAGTAAAATCCATTTAGTGTAATTATAGATACTATTATCAGTAATTTAATATTATCAGAGTTATCATATCTAACAATATGTAAGTTAAAATGAATTTATAAAACTTCATTTATTGTAATCATAGTTCTAGTTATAGTTATACTTATTTTCAGATAAATAGATATTTTATGTTGTTTTATGCTATCAACCTCAACATGTAGCTGATAACATGAAATCACTACCAGTTATCACATTATTATCTTAACCACTGCTTTAAAGCAGTGATTAAGGTTGATAACAAAAATGAAATATTTACTATTTTAAATCATCATTTACTTACAGTATAATAATTTAAATTGCTGGCATTTCTTATTATAATCTAGGTATTGTGAAACAAGGCAAAAGAGAAAATATCAGGCAAACAACAATGAATGAATTAGTATTATTAATAGTGATTCATTTATTGTTGTTTGTCTGATATTTTCTTTTTCAGTGCTATTTTATTGCTATTAATAATAACAATAATAATAGATGACAATAGTCATAATTAATAAGTCTTCAAATTATACTAATTTGAAGACTTTCTTGTGAAATGATCCATTGAACTAGAGAAAAATTTATCAGCATTCCATAACCACTACAATTGTTTCTTGTTTTAAATCATGTAAAAAGCATAAAAACTTGGTGTATGTAATTAAATTGTTAATTGTTGTAACATGTCATTTTAATATCAAAATCAACAAAACTGAAATTTCTAATAATCATAGTCTTATTTACTTACTGGCCTAATGCTTTCAGTCAGTTATCATCATCAGTATAAATTGAGCCCAAACTGATTATAAGCAAATTCTGTTTTCATATTTCAAATGTTTATTTGCCAATGTGCATTAATAAAACTTTATATGCTCACTTACGATGCCAAATATATTTTAGTGAAAAAATAGTGCATTAGTAGTTATCACAACTTTTTAATTTTCTAAATGTTTGCTTTTGTTAACAAGACTAAATTTGATTTTTGAGCATAACCTATGAAATTATAATAATAAAAAATTTAGAGCAGAATAAATATATGGTGTCAAATAATTTACATATGAAACCTTATAAAATGTGAATGAATTTTTTTATCATCATTCTACATTCTTTTGTTTTAGACAAATTACAATCATAAAAATTATATGTACTAATATATGTATTGAAGTGTGCATACCTGAATGTGATTCAGAAGTCTTTAAATTGTAGTGAATTGAAAAAGATTAATTTTTGCTAAGTCAATACTATTACTATTGTGTTTCTTTGTAAGTTAAATATACTAAAATAAAAATGGTATATTATTTAAATGCTGTACCTCTTTAATCCCATATGCTGCTCTTTCTCTTTCTAAATGTGGTAACAGAAGACGCATAGCAGGGTAAAAGGAATCTGTCTAAATAAATAATGTTAAGTTTCATTAAATATGATAGTTTAAAAAAAATCAAATATATAAAAACCTATACCTAATTATTAAAACTGACACATAACTTCATATCAAACTACAGTAGAGCATCGATTATCCGACTCAATTGAGGACTGGGGTTAGTCGGATAACTGAAAAAATGGATAACCGAAAAATATGAAAAAATACATTATTAGTATAGTATATTAGTATATCTCATGTAATTAGTATATCGCTATTAACCTACTTCGCGTTGAATTTTCATCGATGTTAAGCCTAACAAAAATTTTTTAAAAAAATAATCGTCGCTATTGTATCGTTAAAAATTAGAAAATTAAGCCTCATTTAAATACTGGCTCCCTTTCATGGTCAAGCCATGTTGCCAGCTAAAACACGTAAAAATAATATTAAAGTAGCCAAGACAAAGCCAAATATTGTAGCGCCACATGACTAGCGGACATTTGAATTTGCCAACTAGAACGGTTGATTAACCGATGTGACGGTTAATTGGGGGTTGGATAATCGATGCTCTACTGCAGCTCTGTCCAACTTATCATAGCCCGCGGGCCATATTTTCTTCACCAAACATTTCGGGAGCCAAGAAGGTTGGTGATGGCTAATTGGTCGGCTGGGAATCACGCCACATGACATTTGCATAGTGCTACGGTTCAGTGAGCACTAATTGGTCAGCGAGTCCGATCTCGACGCTATAAAAAGGCGACAGTTCGACACACCGGATATACGTCACTCTCATCTAAGTTCGACTTGGGAATTTTTTTGTTCAATAATAAATGTGAATTCTTCTCCCTGGAAAAAATAAGACCTAGCGCATTTTTCAGAGCAAAAATTAATATAAGACACTGTCTTATTTTCGGGGAAACACGGTAGTAAAATAATTTTAATATTAATAATAATAATTTAGTAACATAAATTTATTCATAGTAAAATGTACTCGCGGGCCGTATACGGCCCGCGGGCCGCCAGTTGGACAGCGCTGCTCTACTGTATTAGTAATTACATTCAAAATTATATAATTTTTAATTCCTTATTACATATAATCACCAAATAAAGTTTAATTATAAAAGACAGAGTAAAATAATTCTTTGAAATATAATTACAGTAACTTCTATACTCTAACTTAACTATTTAAATAACTAATATCATTACTGATATTAGTTATTTAAATTAGTAGAATATAAAAGTTAATTAGTTTTATACTACATAATAAAAATTAATGTTATTTTATTATTAAATGATTCTTTTTAAAAATTTAATATGAATTATTCAAAAATATTTGCCACTTCATTTTCATCTATCACTTATAAAATGAAAATAAAACTAATACATAACAATCCAAAAAGATAAGCTGAAATATATCAATACTTTCACAATAAGCAAGTTTTTCATTATACACTAATTGTTTTAATTTCCAGCTCTTTTATAACTATAGATTTTTTATTTGAAAATAGCTAGCATATATATTTTCTAAGCTCACTAGAAAAAATAGCAATGATATTTTTAAAAGAAAAGAATAAAAACAAATTAAAGAATGTCTTTAACTTTCTAATTGTATGTGATGAATTATATACAGTAATACCCCGAACTTACACGATAGGTGGGACCGAGCGGTAACCGCATAAGTCGAATTCGCGTAAGTCGGGGTATTACTGTATATATATTTTTTTCAAAATTCATATTCACAATTATTTTTGTTTATCAAATTGTATCAGATTATAAAAAAAGGGAAATTTTCTTTATAATCTGATAGAATATAAGAAAAATGTCCTTGTCTTAAACAACAATAGTGTTTTTCAGGGCCAGTTCTGATAGGTATGCAGTGCATGCATAACTATCAGAACTGTGCTAAAGTTAAAAAACTGGCCCTGGCATAGGCAATCATTAGTAAACTTTAAAAAATAAAATTCAAATATAATTTATTATTATTTTAATATAGTGGTCAGCAATGAAATGGATTGATATTTGCATGATGACTGATGAAATAGCTGTGCAGTTTATGAATATAAATAATTCTGAAGTACAGTATGTGTTAGGTATTTTGCATCAGAAAACTTAGCAGTGCAAGCAACAATTAATATTCATCTATTGAACCAGAGAAAAATTCAACAGTGAGAATTCCATAATCACTATGATTTTTTCTTGTTTTAAATCACATAAAAACTTGGAGTTTGTAAACTTTAAAAGTTTGGAATTCCAAGTTTTATTTACATTAATGTCTTACAATTAAGTTTATGGTTACATTACTTAACTCATTGTGAATGGTTGTATTAAATAACATAGGTATAAGTTTTTACATTTATGCTTAATTTCCATTGTGAATGGATTTTTATTCTCATACCTTAAATCTTAAAGCAATACTTATACCATTGTTTTAATTGTTAATGGAACCAAAAGGAAATTTAAATAAAGAAATGCACACAATTTAAATATTCATATTTCAATTAATTTTTATACACACGTTTATATATTGTATTTATATAATACATAAGAAAAATAGTTTTAAATTAATTTCATTTTAATTTGCAAGTTCTATTTTATGGCAGAGCTAAAATATAACATTGAACAAAGGTGTCTGTTATCTAGGGGGTGACTTGATTTGAATAAAATTAAAATAAATATACAGTCGATCCCCGTATAAGATCATTGATTATTCCGTTTTATATGAATTCCATGTTGTACAAGTCACTTAAATTTTACAAATACGTGAGCCGTTCACAGCCCGGTACACGTATTTGTAAAATCTAAGTGACTCGTACAACATGGAATTCATATAAAACGGAATAATCAATGATCTTATACGGGGGTCAACTGTATATCAAATTTTTTTTTTTTTTTAAACCCTGTCAACTATATGAAACTGTTATAAAACATACCAGTAAGCTCTTATGAGTTGGGTTAGGTTATGAATTTATTTGTGATTAATATTGACAGGGGCAGCCAAATATTTGTAGAATGCAGGCAGATAACAGTTGAAAACTGGCACTAATAAAAAATAAGCTTTTGTTTTAATTTAAATTGAATATTTAACATGATATTGTTATTGATCCCAAAGCACATAATGATACACATTAATGTAAAAATTTATAAACAACATTGCCTGAACTTCATGTGAACNAAATGTAAAAAGAAAAATATATTTCGGAAGTTAGTTTTAATATAAAATTATAACTAACGCACCATCTAGTTTCAAAAATGTTCAGATGATGAAATGAGATATGTCTGGTCAACCGGTCAAGGTTAGCATGTGGAGACCAGATATGTGAGGAATAACACAGGACAGGTAAATGGGTTTTTTCAAAGATTTGTTTGTCAAAATTTGATTTATCAACATTTGCTTTTCGCAACATTCAAACTTCCCAATGCATGCGTTTTTCAAAATTTGATTTCACAGTGTTCGTATTTCCAACTTCCCAAAGAGCAACACATGTGCTCTTTGGGACATAACAAATATCACACTACTGCCTGTATGTAGAGTGTCCCCATTTTATATTTTATTTTGACTTGGTTCTTGGTCCCGAGTGCCTACAAGTCTGGTTTTTTATGCATGCATGATTTGGGCACTAATACTCTGTGCCAAATTGCAACTCCTGATATGTACTCCTTCATACCTCTAAGCTGGTAACTCAGTTCGCACTGCAATTTTATAAACTAGACATAGTCTTGTCAAATAACAATAATTATTATTACAACTATTATTAGCTATTATAATAACATAATAATTGCTTTAAAAATTTTAATTTATAATTTGATTTTATTGTACTATAATTGCTTGACTAATTTGGTAATTATTTTTGATTGAGGTGATATTTGAACTAAATATTCCAAAACTTTGAGTATATCGTAGAATTTATATTTCAATATATACTCAGATTCTTTAAATACTATGACACACACACACGATTGCAAGATAAGGTGTATTAGTAAGTTTTCTGATACACACTCTTTATATCTTGTTGAAATATCAAATATATCAAAAATGTAACAAATAGTATAAATATGTTAAATTAAACTAATTAAAATAAATGGAATAAAATAAAATACAAATATACTAACACAATATACATAATTATATTCAGTGGTGATATTCGAAATATTTAACAAAGGGTTCGCTAACAGAAAATTTTTCCTTAACAATTTTTTTTCGCTCAAATGGTGCATTAGCAACATTAGCGCAAAAACTGACCTTAATTTGATAATGGACAGCACGCTAATCGTTTATTACAAAAACTTTAAAAATTTTGTATTCAAAAAAGGTTCTAATGACCTGAAGAAGACAAAAGTGTATATCGTCGAAAGCGCTCGTCAATTTAGTGACATAGGTGTCTAATTTAACGCTTATATGTTAAAAGTTTTTGTAAAACTGACCTTAAGATATCCATATAAATAAAAAAGATGCGTTCGCAAAATTAAGTCAGTTAAAATTTAACATTGTTTATGCCAGAACTATATATTTTTTTTTGATAAATAATAAAAAAGTGTGTTCAAAATGGTTTCTTTTGTGCATATTTTATTACAACACATGTTCCGCAGCCATCTTGTATTTTCTTGCGTGCATGGGATTGTGGGATCTCTCTTATGTTGGATCTAGTTTCAAGAACTCTCTTGATTTGCCCGCGATTGAACCTCATTTCAGTCGAGATTGAAACAGTCGAGGGAGGTCGCACCAAGGCGAACAGGATATAAGGCTCTAGTTTAATAATGTTACAGAGTATAATACGTATATGTTAATATATTTTTTAAAAGAAAAAAACTGAGTAATGTTACATGTGTTTAACAAGGTTTGGAAAACTTTGAAAATGTTAAAAAGGGATTCGGCCGAACCTGTGCGAACCTAGCTGCATTTGTCTATATATATAATACATAGTAAAGAGTTCAGGATGATTCAGTTCCATTAGACTAAGTATGGTGAGCAAAAATTACATACAACATGGAGAAAAAAGCCAATTCTTACAGCCATAGGCAAGCTCAAAGTACATTTTATCTTTTTCAGTTATGGTATTTTTCTTTTTGGAGTGACTGAATACTTTTGTTGGGAAAGAGTATGCTGAATTAAATAAAATATGATCTTTATTAGTAAATAATTGTCTTTAACTAAAACTAATCAAATTTGTTTATCAATACAGCATCCACTTAACATTTGATAAGCAATTTTAATTTATCAACAAATCCATTAGATAACTCTAAAATCTGAATAGTATTTATTTATTGTAATATTTACAGACATTTGAATATACTTTGGCAAACTGTTCTTAGGCTGGCAAAAGACAACAAATCCTACAGAATAAATGGTGTGCTAAATATACATTCTCCATGGTAAGAACTAGGCTTTTTCTTTTGTATCTGAGATATGACACGTCTCGTATTGTATTACGAAAATCACAGCCCATAAACATTTCGGGAAAGAAGAATGGCCTAGTAAAACAAGCTCTGGAAACAGTCCACAGTTATGGAAATGTATTACTCAGCACACACCTTTTGTTCCACAGGATCCGTCATCCTCCACTAATCTACAAGCAGTTATTTGAACTACATTCTTCAACCTGTAAATCTACATGCTTCATTAAATAGAAGTTGAACTGCTGTAATATATACAAAAACACATTAAATTTAAATCAACAATGTTTGTCTTGTTCAAATTATTATAGTAGAAGTTACTTTTAGGTAATTTGTGTATGTATACTGTGGTACCTCAGGATATGAATGCCCCAGCATACGAAATTTTCAGGATACGACATGAAATTCGAACATATTTTTGCTCCACGATACGAACAAAAACTCGCCATACGACATTACATTAGTTCACAACACCATTTTCTATTCACTTCTGTTCATTGGTCTCAGTCTACGTGTTTGCTTTGTCGTGGAAGGATCTCGCTCGATAAAGGAAATCTCGAGGTATTATCAGAAAGTGATTGATTTTATTGGAAAGAAGCATCCCAAAAAGGTACACACTGGCCATATTGCTGCCTGGAGTAATGACATTTGCCTAAGTCATTTTAGAAGCATTTTAAAAAGTAGNAAATAAAAAATGTTTTTTTTTCTTTACTCTTTCTGATCTGTGGACGCTAAGAAGACCTTTTAATCAGGCCCCACAATGCAGTGGCCTGGCCAGTGGAGAGTTACAGCTTACTGTTAGTCAAATAGCTCCCTACGAATGGCTAATTGATGGAATCGTTGGAAGCGTCATACGATATCTTTGTGTATAGTATCCACGATCTAAACTGCTTGGGTTGATACTATGTAAAGCGAATGCGTGTAATCTGGCTGCTTTACACGATTCAGATATTTTCGCCGTGGAAGCCGTTCCGCGCTTCCATTGCGAATATGCATATACGAATTTACATTGGAATATACAATAGCAATCTTATCATTGTTTCTCACATGTATTGTAATAAAATACATGATGCAGTTACAATATAATAAAATGTACAGTACTTTGAATTACTTAAAATTAATGTTAAAATATGAAAATAATCGCACAACATGTATTTACATCTTAGAAAATACAATCGACCCTCCCCCCCGAATATAGGCAACTCTGATTTCTGTATATATATCAGTAGTGTGCCGTCCATGGAAGCTGTGGAAGCACTGCAGCGGTTTTTGATGTCGTAAACATAATTTTTCGATATTAGAACTGATTTCACCAATTTCAATCGTAAGTCAGGCTCATCATTAATTAAAGTCTATTTTTGTATTTTTGTATTTTTGTATTTGGTATTAAGAGCTGAAAATGTAGAAAACTGATGTTGCGAAACAGGCATATTAGAATGAAATGGATTCTGTATCCACGAGTGTGGATCACAAGCTAATTAACGGAATGCTCGCACAGCAATTGCGTGAGTGTTTACTCACGCAATTGCTGGGCGAGCATTCTCATGCACTATACAGTAGTGCATGAGAATGCTCGCCCATTATAATAGTGGCCGGATGGCCGAGTGGTCAAGGTGGCAGCCTACCGCCTTGGGGGACCCAGGTTCGAATCCGAACGTGTCGAAAAATCCCCAGGAATTTTTCGGGGGGGTGGTCCGTTCGAATATGTCGGGCCCGTCCCTCACCACCCGGCAGGCCCATTGTGGGCCTGGCCGAACCTATAATGGGCTTGCAAAAAGAGGCCCTCTTAGTGCCCACAGGGCAAACAGTTAAAAAAAGACCCCCTATAATACGGTAGATATGTTCCGTTTTATATGAGTTCCCTGTTTTACGAGTCACTTAAATACAGTACATGAGAAAATCACAGCCCGGCACGTGTGCACTTTAGGGACTACGGCTGTTTGAAAGGTTTTCTTCCATAAAATTAATGAATTCTAGACTAATTTGACTAAACATTTCCAAAACACGTATAATTTCTTGGGTATTCTATTATGGTTATTTATACATTTACAACTACAAAATGCATTTTTCAGTGTTTTCCTTACTATAGTTATTTTTTTAATGTACTATTAGCTTTAATTTGAGTGTTTTTTTCGTGTTGGAACGAATTATTTGGTTTTACATGTAATCGTATGGGGAAAAATGATTCACCTTACGATATTTTCATGATACGATCTCAGTTTCGGAACGGATTAATTTCGTATCCTGAGGTACCACTGTATATTACATTATAAAGTTACCTAAAGTTAACTTCTATCTCGAATCATATACTTACTGTATCTGTTTTATGTAATTTATTATGAAAATCTCTCCACTGCCGAATAAAACTGTTCAAAACATCCATTTTCTTTTGTTTCCCTTGTTTATTCGAAATTCTTTCACAGACGCAACACAAGTCTGCAAAGGGCACTTTCGACGCTACTGTTTCCATCTTAAGTAAAACAATACTTCGTCTAAAACATTACCGCTATAATGTATCACATTTAAACTACGCGTCATAATTATTCTCCACCATATTTATGTTGTCGCTATGGTAACCGATAACATCGACACGTTGCCATCTACAGTTACAATTACGAAATAAAGGTTTGGATTTAAAAATTTATAATTTATTAATGACCGAAAGAAAATAAAAACTTTACAAGTAATTTAATTACATTTAAATAGAGTAATTTTTATTTTTATATTATTTATGTAACATGTATAATTTATAAGGTGGTACGACGGCCGGATGGCCGAGCGGTCAAGGTGACAGCCTACCACTCTGAGGATCCGGATCGAGTCCGAACAGGTCGAAAAAGTCCCAGGAAATTTTCGGGGGTAGTCCGTCCGGTAATGTTTGCCCCGCTCTTTACCACCCAGCTGCTTTATTGTGGGCCTTAGTCCGTCCGGATATGTTGGCCCCGTTCCTTACCACCCAGCTGCTTAATTGTGGGCCTGGCCGAACCCATAACGGGCTTGCCAAAAGAGACCCTCTTAGTGCCTACAGTGCGGAAGAGTTTAAAAAAAAAAAAAAAAAGGATAAGCAGGTGATGTGGCGAAAATATTAATTCCGAGAAATATTTTGAAAGCAGCTCGCAATTTTACAGTAAGTTTTCACGCGAGGTCATAAAATATTCTAGCATCTTGTGTTGGTTGGTGAACGAGGTAGAGTATATATTAGTAAATAAAAAATGTTTTTTTTTCTTTACTCTTTCTGATCTGTGGACGCTAAGAAGACCTTTTAATCAGGCCCCACAATGCAGTGGCCTGGCCAGTGGAGAGTTACAGCTTACTGTTAGTCAAATAGCTCCCTACGAATGGCTAATTGATGGAATCGTTGGAAGCGTCATACGATATCTTTGTGTATAGTATCCACGATCTAAACTGCTTGGGTTGATACTATGTAAAGCGAATGCGTGTAATCTGGCTGCTTTACACGATTCAGATATTTTCGCCGTGGAAGCCGTTCCGCGCTTCCATTGCGAATATGCATATACGAATTTACATTGGAATATACAATAGCAATCTTATCATTGTTTCTCACATGTATTGTAATAAAATACATGATGCAGTTACAATATAATAAAATGTACAGTACTTTGAATTACTTAAAATTAATGTTAAAATATGAAAATAATCGCACAACATGTATTTACATCTTAGAAAATACAATCGACCCTCCCCCCCGAATATAGGCAACTCTGATTTCTGTATATATATCAGTAGTGTGCCGTCCATGGAAGCTGTGGAAGCACTGCAGCGGTTTTTGATGTCGTAAACATAATTTTTCGATATTAGAACTGATTTCACCAATTTCAATCGTAAGTCAGGCTCATCATTAATTAAAGTCTATTTTTGTATTTTTGTATTTTTGTATTTGGTATTAAGAGCTGAAAATGTAGAAAACTGATGTTGCGAAACAGGCATATTAGAATGAAATGGATTCTGTATCCACGAGTGTGGATCACAAGCTAATTAACGGAATGCTCGCACAGCAATTGCGTGAGTGTTTACTCACGCAATTGCTGGGCGAGCATTCTCATGCACTATACAGTAGTGCATGAGAATGCTCGCCCATTATAATAGTGGCCGGATGGCCGAGTGGTCAAGGTGGCAGCCTACCGCCTTGGGGGACCCAGGTTCGAATCCGAACGTGTCGAAAAATCCCCAGGAATTTTTCGGGGGGGTGGTCCGTTCGAATATGTCGGGCCCGTCCCTCACCACCCGGCAGGCCCATTGTGGGCCTGGCCGAACCTATAATGGGCTTGCAAAAAGAGGCCCTCTTAGTGCCCACAGGGCAAACAGTTAAAAAAAGACCCCCTATAATACGGTAGATATGTTCCGTTTTATATGAGTTCCCTGTTTTACGAGTCACTTAAATACAGTACATGAGAAAATCACAGCCCGGCACGTGTGCACTTTAGGGACTACGGCTGTTTGAAAGGTTTTCTTCCATAAAATTAATGAATTCTAGACTAATTTGACTAAACATTTCCAAAACACGTATAATTTCTTGGGAATAATCCATATAAACTATGCTATAAACAAAAAATTGTAGGATTACTTACCGAGTGTGCACCGTTCGACGACGCCATTGCTTAAGTTTGTTTTCGTCGCGGAGCGGCGCATCGAACGGCGGGAACGTGCTTCCTGATAAATTATTTTTCTGCGAAAAATTTGCTGAACTTTGGAGACATCATTAACATAAATATAATTTTTATGGCCGTTAAATAACAAATGGTTTTTAGTACGTCCGCTGCTCATTTAAACTCAACAGTTTGTGCAATATCTGCTATTGGTCTAGATTCGACCAATCCTGTTGCGACACGAGTCGGCGATGATGTTTTACTGTATTATTCGAGTCTCTTAGAGCCGCCGCAAACTACAGGATGCGGGAGCTAGCGTACGCTCGCTCGCGCTCCTAAGCCCCGCCTTTTTTCCCATGATGCTTTGAGCCATTTTTGCTAGGTAAGCTACGCGAGCAGGAAGCAGCCGCAAACTACACAACGTTTGCTGGCGTAACGTAGTCCACATGACGTGGATTCCACAGATGTAGATTGGCTATAGAACAAGATTTTATTATAACCTATACTTGTAATCAGTCAGTTTTCGTTCCGAACTTTGAAACAGCATGGAAAAAACATGTTTACTAGTTAAGCCTAACTAGGCTTAACTAGCCGAAAACTATTTATACTGTATATTACTATTTACATACAACGGTTATACTATTTTCTTTTCAATACTGAATGTATTAATCATGTAATTTACGTACATCGATAAAATTCTATTATTTCTTTTTCGACATGTGACATGTTTATGTAGTCATCCGTCTTCCCCGCTCTCTCTTGCTAGCGTAAATGCTCTAGTTGTTGAATTCTGTGAACAGCGAGCGTACTCTCGTATCGCTGCGCTAGCGAAGGAAAAACAGCGCAGGCAAGAAGAGAGGGGAGGAGCCTTCGACGTCATCGGTTGTGCTAGCGCATGTTTGCTAGCGTTTTGCTCTCGCAAAGCGCTAGTTTGCGGCGGCTCTTAGCATGTTTATACGAATACGATCGCAATTTTTTCGCCGCGTTATACGAATCCGTATTATATGAACCCGTGTTATAAGGGGGTCTACTGTATTACATCAGCTTTCACATTTGAGACAATAGCTGTGTCTGTGCTGGACAGAAAGTTATAAATGTTAAGATAAACGAGATAGAATAACATACCGTACGTTTCTAAATTCAACACATATCACCGGTGAGTTCTCCGTTGAATGATCTGACATCACGTTTTGTAGAATAAAGAAACGTTTCTGTTGAAAGGCACTTTTCATGATGGCCGACTTAATCAAGGGGAAGACAGCGATTGTGACTGTTTTGCTAAATAATTAATGACAAGCATTATTCGAATAAATCCTGTTATTGAAATGAACCTTTCTCTGTATCAGTTTCTTCTATACTATATCTTTCTTTAATAATTCGAATTTCTTGAATATTTATATCATTAGGAAGACTTAAAGAGGGCCAAATATCGGTCTTAATGAATTTTGGACAAATTCGTGGAGGTAGTTTGTTTATGAAAAAAAGCTAAATATTTCAATATTGACCAAATTATCCAACATAATGGTGCAATTACACATTTTATCATATACAGGTCGTTCATTAATCTGTTCGTATCACAGCATCCACAGCAAGAGCGAATCGATAGTTTCTATAAGCGAAATTTACTTGTTTCATGAATGCCGCCATGTTAGTTTGTTGAATACTCAACGGTTTTTCAGGTCGTTGAGCTCAACGGTACAACAGCGCTGACGTCATTAGTCTCAACGGAGAACTCAACGGTCCATTTAGAAACGTCATTTTCTCATTGTTTGAGTCAACCGTTGAATATAGAAACGTACGGATAGAGTGCTAAACCGAAACTACATCTGATGCATTGAAGTGAGGCCGCCAAGACAGTTGAGGTGTACTGAACCTATTGACTAAATTTAAGTTAATGATAACTGAAGATATTTTGCAACTTAGATAAAAATCAATGAAGTTGTTTTTTTCATATACAATGTATCAAAATATATACAATTTTTAAAAATAATTATGATTTAATCGTTGACAATGGCTAACTTATTCGAGGTTGTGTAAAATTTATTATAATTTGATTATATTTTTCATAAAATTACAATTTTTTAGCAAAATTTTCTTGGTTTTTAGAAAATGTTTACAAATGAAAAATTATAATAATTTTATTAAATAATAAAAATTAATTTTAATATATACATATCGACATTACATTATATATTAATTAAGCATAAAGTTTTACGGTGCAATGCAAAATATATTACACGTACTGTATATCATGTTTAATTAAAAAACAATGTCCTTTAAATATAATCATTTTTGTAAACATTTGTTTTACTTGTGCACCTCCAATCTTAATCGGGGAGGTGGGGCAAGATGAGAACGTTCAGGTTTGAAAAGTCATAAGACGGCAACCACTTTGATGAGAACAATAATTTTTTTATTCTCACCAATTACAACATTTGTTAATATATAATACAAAATTTAATTTTTGAAAAAGCGTTTTTAAAAACAAGAAAATTTAATATTTTAAAATTATATATAAATGCGCCATCTTGCCCTACCCATGGGAAAAGATGGGGATATTATTTTTATATACAAGAAGGACAAATTATAATGGTTAAACTGTCGTTTTCTTCAATATTAGCACAAGAACAGTGTGCCCAATTATCACAACGGCAACATTTAGCCCAACTCTCTGTAGATGCAGAATATAACCCTTCACAATAGAGGCATTCTGTGTCATTTATCTTTTGTTTCTTGTTAGGCCTACGCTTGCTGATGCATTTAGTTTTTGATTTTACGGAATTTCTTTCGGTTAACAAAGACCGTTTTCCTGGGGGTGCCGAAACTGCTGTTGATTGTCTTTGTTGTTCAATCAGCTGCTGCTTGTATAGTGTATCTGTTAGGATTGCTGTTTTCCTTCTGCTCTCCTTCTGTTATTTTCGATTTTTTTCTTGGTTCCAACATGTGGAATTGGCATTATTTTTATGGGGGAGACTCG